AGAAGAAATAAGATGATAAAAAAATGACTTTGGGACGCCGAGGCGGGTGGATCACAAGGTCAAGAGATCGAGACCATTCTGGTCAACATGGTGAAACCCCGTCTCTACTAAAAATACAAAAATTAGCTGGGCACGGTGGCGCGTGCCTGTAATCCCAGCTACTCAGGAGTCTGAGGCAGGAGAATTGCCTGAACCCAGGAGGCGGAGGTTGCGGTGAGCTGAGATCACGCATTGCACTCCAGCCTGGGAAACAACAGCGAAACTCCGTCTCAAAAAAAAAAGCCACATTACAAGTAGCTGTTACAGAATCTAATCTGCTGATAATATTTTCAGGAATGTGAACTAAACCTGTTGGTTTAGTAATACTGAGGACTGCACTCAAACAGTGAATTTTAAGAAAAAAATAATAGATGTGTAAATCAGAGTACTCACAAATGCATAATTAGTGTTTATAAGACAAGGAAAAGAATGAAGCTAATAGAGCAAAATGTTTAAAGGCTGGATTGGAAAAAAAAATCCTTAAATGAAGGAAGACAGAAATTTGCCAACCGGGTCCCAGGAAAGCAACACACATGTTAATAAAGTTGTAACAAATCAGGAAGAAAGAAAAAAATTAAAACAAGGACTTAAATATAAATGTAATTTCAATTTAATTTAAACATATCATCTGTAGCAACAGAAATATACATGTATCAGAAACCATATCTCACAAAAGCTTTGTGACGTCAGTCAATATTTCATTGAAGGGCATTCAAATTGAAATAGATAAAACTTCATGATGACAAAAACTTTTTCTTAACTGCTCTACTTCCAGGTAGCCACACTGACGATCTAAATAAATGAGGGTGCATAATTTATTCCAGTCCAAATACTGACAGTGTTTGTGAATAATTTTCAGACTGATTCTACAGTTTTACAGAAGCACAAAGACCCAAGAAGAGCAGAGGCATCCGTGGAGAAGAACACAAAGATTGGCAGCTTCTCTACCTGTGACCAGTGCTATTGTATTAGTTTTCCATTTCAGTTTAATAAATTGCCACAAACTTAGTAGTTTAAAACAAAACCCAGCCAGGCGCAGTAGCTCATGCCTGTAATCCCAGCACTTTGGGAGGCTGAGGCGGGTGGATCACAAGGTCAAGAGATCGAGACCATTCTGGTCAACATGGTGAAACCCTGTCTCTACTAAGAATACAAAAAATTAGCTGGGCACGGTGGTGCGTACCTGTAATCCCAGCTACTTGGGAGGCTGAGGCAGGAGAATTGCCTGAACCTGGGAGGCGGAGGTTGCGGTGAGCCGAGATCGCGCCATTGCACTCCAGCCTGGGTAACAAGAGTGAAACTCCATCTCAAAAAAAAAAACAAAACCCATTTGTAACCCAGCAGTTTCTATGAATTAGGTGTGGCTTAGCTGAGACCTTTGTGTTATAAATAACATTTCGATGCCACAAAAGAAATAGTACTTGAAGATAAGTCCTCTCGGCGAGGCAGTTTACTTCTATAGAAGGGTGTGGCATACAGGTGGGATGATGGCAGCCACATGCTTGGACAAATGGGCAGAGGGTTGTCCCTACTGCTGTGTCGTCCCCTATTGGCTGGGGATGGATCGCACAAGCTAGGCTAATCCCAATTGGCTATTTTAAAAAGATCAGGGGTCCAAGCCGGAGTAGCAGGGTGGGTATTTTGGTGGTAAGGATCGTTCAAAGCAGGTAGCCAGGTGTGATCATTTGACTGGGATGAGTTAGGATGGAAGGAGGTGAGGGGGAGCAGATGTGAACTACTGATCAGAACTTATGGAGAAGGTTGTTTACTAGAATTACAAGGAAGTTAAACTTTAAAGATTTAAAAAATAAGAGAGCTGAAAATACTGACACATTGATTCTTTGAAGAGAGACCTGGGGTTCACTGTAACATTTGCTTTCGCTCTTAAGGCTGCAGTTAAGGAGTTGGGTGAGCTTCATTTTCATCTGGAGACTTGGGAGGGATGAATCCCTTTCCAAATTCAAGTTGTTGACAAAATTATTATGTGCTGCTACAGAGAACAGAGGACAGTCTGCCTCTTCACGAAAGGCCCAGTCTTCCTTTTCACATCTTTCCCCCGATTAAGTCAGGGCCACCCAGGATAATCTTTCTTTGATTAACTTGAAGTGAACAGATTCTGGATCTTAATTACATTTGAAAAATTTATTCATCTTTGCCATATAACGAAATTAAATCAAGGGAGTTGATCCGTGGGTGAAACCAAATCAGGTTCTGCCCACATTCGTGAAGAGGGAACAATACAAATGCAGGACTAACTGGGGTCCCTTTAGGGTGTGTCTGCCACAGTTATGCTGATTAAGACAGAGTGCTTATGTGTAGGAATCAAAACGCACACAGATTCATGCAGATTCGAACGCACGAATGAAAGGGGTCGCCCCGCAGACGACCAGTGCAATAAATGATGGCGTAACTGTTAATCAATGGGATTCAGAAAACTTGAATTGGAGAAGAAGTAATTGCACAGAAGGGAAATTGGGGGGAAGCAAAACTTGTATAAGGAAACTGGATGGTCTTGGGTTAAGGAACGTATTCTTCAGATTGACACAAACATGCTTCCTTTTAGCACCCACAGTCCTTTAGAGTATATATTTGTGCTCTTCTATTGCTTCAGGCTAATCATCCTAATTCGTTTGTGCTGAAGCAGTAATTTGTTTAAAATTTTAAATGTCTCTTGGTAAATGGTATCAAAGTTGATGTTTCTTTTTTTTTTTTTTTTTTTAAGATGGAGTTTCGCTCTCATTACCCAGGCTGGAGTGCAATGGCGAGATCTCGGCTCACCACAACCTCCGCCTCCTGGGTTCAGGCAATTCTCCTGCCTCAGCCTCCCGAGTAGCTGGGATTACAGGCACATGCCACCATGCCCAGCTAATTTTTTTTTTGTATTTTTTAGTAGAGACGGGGTTTCACCGTCTTGGCCAGGCTGGTCTCAAATTCCTGACCTCGTGATCCACCCACCTCGGCCTCCCAAAGTGCTGGGATTACAGGCGTGAGCCACCGGGCCCAGCCTCAAAGTTGGTGTTTCTGTCAACAGTTCTAAATATTGCTACAGCAGAATATTTCATCCTGCAAAAAAATTCTTATTTATTGAAAAGCATAGTTTTCATCTGAGCCTAATACCATCCCCCTGTCAATCTTTTAAGTAAAAATGGGACTTCAGGCTGGGTAGTGCTCATGCCTGTAATCCCAGCACTTTGGGAGGCCAAAGTGGGTGGATAACCTGAGGTCAGGAGTTCAAGACCAGCCTGACCAACATGGTGAAACCCCGTCTCTACTAAAAATAAAAAAATAAAAAATAAAATAGTTAGACATGGTGACGCATGCCTGTAATCCGAACTGCTTGGGAGGCTGAGGCAGGAGAATCACTTGAACCTGGGAGGCAGAGGTTTCAGTGAGCTGAGATCACACCATTGCACCCCAGCCTTGGTGACAAGAGTAAAAGTCTATCTCAAAAACGGGGGGGGGGGGACTTCAGTGATAGTCTTTTCATTCAGCAAATACTAGTTAATTTATTATGGTTAGCCAACATTGGTAAACAAGAGATGCATGTTCTGTGACCCAACCAGTTTATTGGTTTTAAGATAGATACTGCATCAGTAATTACAGAAACGAATCCATGACAGTTTATGGGAGATGCCTGGGAAGACTTCGTGGGGAACGAAGTGATTTTTAAGTGAAGTGAGTGAGTAGGAACTGTCTCGATGCTGGGACAGGAAAGAGAAGAGCGTGCTGTGCAGACGGGCAGGGATTCCGAGGAGTGTGGGGAAGGGTTCCGGCACGTCTGAGGGCCTGGGAGGACCAGTTGCCAGGAGTGTAGCACAGGGCAAGGGGCGTTTAATGCAGATTGATGTGGACTAGAATTAGTTAGAGCCAAAAGAACTGGTCATTAGGAGACAAGCTTGGGTCTACAGCAGAAGATGGTAGCTTGGATTACACGGGAAAGGATTTGAGAGCAATGGTCAGAGAGAACCATTGAGAAGAAAAGAAAAAGAAGTCAGAGGTGGCGTTGGGTTTTCTCCTCGAACACGTGAGAAGCAGATCTGAAAGAAGAGCAGATATTGGCAGAGGAAGGTGCAGATATTGGCAGGAGGAAGGTGATAGTTCGGTTCTGGACATGGTGGATCTCAGGCACTGGACGGTTGAATCCAGCAGGCTAAAGGGGTGGAGGATTGAAATGGGGAGGATGAGGATGAGGACATAATCTCAACAGGAGATGACCTAGACAAGAAGTGAATGGAGGTGCTTTGGGAACAAAACGTACGCTGTACTAAGCATGCCCCCTCCGTGACGTCCCTCGGAGACCTTAGAGAATCTAGTGACAGCCGTAGTGCTCCCGACTTCTCGGTGGCGTGGCTCTGCTTTGGTAGCAGAGTGGAACGTCAGTAAGTGAGTATTTCTGTTCGTTCCTGGGTTGGCAAAGCTGGAGTCCTGGAGTTACAAAGGGATAAGATAAATATGCATACATTAGGGAAAACAGAGTGCAGAGTTGATCAGCAAAACTTAACGATATAAATAAACAAAAATACAAAATGGTTCCACAAGTTTACGTAAGACATGAAAGCTCTGTTGTTATCGGAAAAGCGTCCCTTAAGATGACCCTGGGCCTCTCTGAGGGTTGAGTTTACCCGTCACTCTTGAATTTCATCATACAACCTATGGAAGGGCTGAAGCAGTAACAGGTCAACAAGTCGTGGCCTGTCCTGGAAGAGACCTGCAAGTCTTTTCCCTCTGCCATGAGCATGTTCATCTTTGTGACCAGCGAAATGCCTGGTACACCCAGGGACACTCTGAAAATGAAGTTTAAGAAATTTAACCTTAATTTCGATCCTTTTCCTGATTTGATATTGTTGTAGTCGTACATTTGTATCCAAGTCATTCATTTAGCAAAATAAACTGTAAATTATTTTCCTGAATTATTTTTGACTCATCGAAGTTTTCTTAATTTCAACAATGTTTTATTACAGGTGATTATGTTGTCATGACTATATATTTTGAATTGAGTAGAAGAATGGGATACTTCACTATTCAGACCTATATTCCCTGTATACTGACTGTGGTTTTATCCTGGGTGTCGTTTTGGATCAAAAAAGATGCTACACCAGCCAGGACAGCATTAGGTGAGTTTCAGAAAGTCTCTTCCATAAGTTTGTGTGATTTTAATGTAGAAGCATTCATAAAAAAAACCTTCAATGTAAAAGACTATTTAAATATGAATGAAGCCGGGCGCGGTGGCTCACCCCTGTAATCCCAGCACTTTGGGAGGCTGAGGCGGGTGGATCACGAGGTCAAGAGATCGAGACCATCCTGGTCAACACGGTGAAACCTCGTCTCTACTAAAAATACAAAAAATTAGCTGGGCGTGGTGGCGCGTGCCTGTAATCCCAGCTACTCGGGAGGCTGAGGCAGGAGAATTGCCTGAACCCAGGAGGTGGAAGTCGCAGTGAGCCGAGATCGCACCATGGCGCTCCAGCCTGGGTAACAAGAGCGAAACTCCGTCTCAAAAAAATAAATAAATAAATAAATAAATATGAATGATCTAATTTCAGGGTTACTTGAACCGTGCTTAGAATTTTCTCTTAAGAAGCCAAGTTAGGTTGTCCTTTCTCACAGTGAGATGCTGTGTATGCTGCTTAAATCATGATGGGGTAGGAGATTCAGAGTGAATGAATCGTGACAGCGTTCTGTATCACAGGCTGACATGATCGCAAAAACGTAGGCACATCCCAGAACCTGTCGACTCAAAAGCGCCCTGACATTAATTTCCGAAAACAGAATGTGCCACACACTTCTGAGGACTGAAGACACAATATTGGTAAAGCAGTTTATCAATAATTGAAGCTCTGCTTGCATATAGCAACTTCACAAGCAAACGGGAAAATGATCATTCTTTTCAGCTATGAGCCACACACTAAAACTCAGTCATTTCATGAATCTTTCTCTGGTTCCCAAAGTAGTTTTGAGCTATGCAACATATTTTATGTCAGTTTTTCTTTCTGACAGAAATTTTGCTTAACTTCCAATGTTTTGGTTTTTCGAAGACAGGTAATATATAAGACCAGATATAGAGATTTTCTTCCCCCAGAAAATCCCTGTAGAAAAGAGGAAGCTTCCTCAATTTTGAATTTCTGCAACATCTCGAGTATTTACATTGTTATTTCTCTGTGTTTTTTTATTCTTTCTTTGCTTAAGAACAAAGCACTGGACCTGGGTAGACCAGATACCAAAAGATTAATTAGCCTGTAAGATCCTTTACCTGTTCTAGTTTTGCTTATAGGAAATACATGATAGAATTATAGGCAAATCAACACGGATTTAGTGACTGACCCCTGGGTTTATGGCTTCACAGTTCCAAATGTTAGATGTCATTGTATACAAGACATCCAAAGATAAGCTGCAGAGTGATACAGTATATAGCTGTGTGTGTACAACTTGAGACTGTGAAAACTCTACAGAGAATAGTTGTTCTGGGACCAAGAAACAGAAGCTAGAATTTCACAGTCAGTCACATAATAAATGTGTAGCCAAAAGAATTGAGGAACTCTATTAATAAGATGTTTAGTTGGCAGTGGCTCAAGCCTGTAATCCCAGCACTTTGGGAGGCCGAGGCAGGTGGATCACGAGGTCAAGAGATCCAGACCATCCTGGTCAACATGGTGAAACACCGTCTTTACTAAAAATACAAAAAATTAGCTGGGCATGGTGGCACGTGCCTGTAATCCCAGCTACTCAGGAGGCTGAGGCAGGAGAATTGCCTGAACCCAGGAGGCGGAGGTTGCAGTGAGCCGAGATCACGCCATTGCACTCCAGCCTGGGTAACAACAGCGAAACTCCATCTCAAAAAAAAAAAAAAAAAGATGTTTAGTTGGGACACCAGAAAGTCTGTGCCTAAAAGTAAAGGGGGTACTCTGGATGTCCTTTAGGATCATAAGAATTCAAAGGGCTTCTTAAAAAGATAATATAGTGCAGACTCCTTACATTATTAGGGGTTATAATAAGAACTTATAAGACATTTCTAGGAAGTAGAAAAATGTGACCCATGATTGCAAAGAAAGACTGATTAATAAAAAGCAAAGAGAAGTCTAATGCTGACTCAGCAGGCATGCACTTTAACAACACCTGTTGTAACAATATCTGAGGACGTAAAGACAATATGACTTTAATAAATGAACAGATGGGTTATCTCATCACAGAAAGTATATAAAAAGAAATTCCATACTGAAATGTATAATATCTTGATTGAAAAATTTACTAACTAGACTTAAGAGCGGATTGAGGATGGCGGAAATAAAAGTTTATGTAAAATTGAAGACCATCAGATGAAATGTGTCTAATCTGAAAAACAAAGGAATAAAAAGATTAAAAAGAAAGAACGAAGCCCCAGTGATATTACTACCATATGGATATGTATAGCGTAACTATAACCGACTTTAACTGAGGTTATAGTTAAAATCAGAATAAGAAGAGTAAAAGAATGAGGCAAATCTTTTTGAAGAAATGTGGTTAGGAAATTATAATATTTGTACCCCAGCCTACAAATTCAGACAGCTCAGTGAGATACAGGGAAATACAAAGGAAATCATCATAGTCTGAAGGATGACAATTAAAAAAAAAAAAAAAAGAATACTTGAAAGGAGCTAAATAAAACTGTCCCATCATACATGGAGTAGCAAAAATATGACTGATTCTTCATGTGCAATTATGGAGACCAGAGGGTAATTAATTGCTCCCTTTAAAATACCGAAATTCCATATCCAGAGAAAATGTACTTCAAAAATTTCATCAGAATGAAGATTTTTTTAGATAAACAAAATCTGTGTTAATTTGTCACAGAAAATGTAAAACCATAGTAACAATTCTAACACAAGCTAATTGGGTTAATGGAAATAATAAATAGAAAAATTGATTTACAAGAAGTAATGAAAATATCAGAACTGGTATGTGCTGAATGTTAAAAACACTAGCATTCTATTTTTATTCTTTCAATTAAACTCAAAATAATAATATGCCACGATGGGACTTATGACATAAGAAAAAATAGTAGCCAGGCATGGTGGTTCATGCCTGTAATCCCAGCACTTTGGGAGGCCGAGGTGGGCAGATTACGACCCAGGAGATCAAGACCATCCCTGCTAAACGTGTCTCTACTAAAAATACAAAAATTAGCCAGGCGTGATGACATGTGCCTGTAATCCCAGCTACTCAGGAGCCTAAGGCAGAAGAATCACTTGAACCCAGAAAGTGGAGGTTGCAGTGAGCTGAGATCGCACCACTGCACTCCAGCCTGGGCAACAGAGTGAGACTTCATCTCAGAAAAAAAAAGAAAAGAAAGAAAAAGTAGGCCATAAATAGCAATGAGGTTATGGGACATATGGAACCATGTTCCTATGTGGTACAAAAATAAATGATACTAAAAAAATTCTAAGTAGATATGTTAAGAAATCTTACCGTAATCTGTTCAAAAAGTATGAAAATATAAAAAGCATAGCTAAGCATAATAGAAATAAATAGGAACATATAATAATAATAAAAGGATGAATTCAACAGAAAGATAAGACATTCATAAATGTGCCTGGGACTAGTATTAGAGCTCCATATTAAAATAAACGAAAGCTGAGAAGAGGATAACTTTTTTTTTTTTTTTGAGATGGAGTTTCGCTTTTGTTCCCTAGGCTGGAGTGCGATGGCACAATCTTGGCTGACTGCAACCTCCGCCTCCTGGGTTCAGGCAATTCTCCTGCCTCAGCCTCCTGAGTAGCTGGGATTACAGGCACGCGCCACCATGCCCAGCTAATTTTTTGTATTTTTAGTAGACACGGGGTTTCACCATGTTGACCAGGATGGTCTCAATCTCTTGACCTCGTGATCCACCCGCCTCGGCCTCCCAAAATGCTGGGATTATAGGCATGAGCCACCACGCCCGGCCCGAGGATAACTTTTTAAAATCAATCACAGATTGATATGTAAATATGCTTCTATCATATGTGTACACAGACAAGCACATCTGTCCACTTAGGTGATTAAACCAGTCAGCAACCAAAAAGCCAGTGAAGAATCAGAGGGTCTGAAGGATACTATGAATGTCTGAGCTGTCGGGCATTGCAGAACTCTGCATCAAGAATTACATCACGCAAGTGAATTTCAATAGCCACCTCCTGCCATACACAAACATGTATTTAAAATGGATTATAACTCAAATGGTAAAGCTAGAAATGCTAAATTTCTAGAAAAATATTAGGATTATATTATTAAAGATTTCTCACAACAAAAAGTGAATCTTAGATGAGGAACACTTTAAAACATTTCTGACATGAAAATATACATGATGTTCTGCACATGTACCCCAAAACCTAAAATGCCATTTTAAAAAAAAAAAGAAAGAAAATATACTTGCATAGATATTTCATATTATTAGATAATATGAAACATAATGAAGATTTGTTGGTTGCATAAAATAAATGTATTTTTCCAATGAATAGCATCTTTCTCCTCTCTTTATGCATTTTGATATGCAGAAATTTAATTTCATTTATTAATCTTTATATTAATGATTTTGTTCTAAATACATTGTAGGTCTGGCTAAAGATTTCCTATGTAATATTATTTTAGCCTGATAAAATAATACCAGAAATGTCCAGGATAGAATAAAATATCACTCATATCCAAAAATGAAAATTCCAATATCAAGATGACACAGTTGTTAGAATTATTGATTAGGATTTTAAAATAGCAGTCAGAAATAGGTTTCAGCGAGCAAATGCACATGTGCTTCAACTACATGAAAAAACAGAAACTCTGCAAAGAAATAGAGGATACGAAGAAGTCGTCAATGGAATTTTTAGAACTAGAAAATACAATGCCAAAATGAAAAACTCACTGGATGTGCTTAATGAAAGAAGAGAAGACAGAGGAAAGAATCAGTGACCTGTGAGATAGAACAACAAAAATTACAATGTGAGCAACAGAGACAAAATATCTTGAAAAAAATAATAATCAACTGAGTTTATGGAGATCTCCGAATGTTGACACAAATGTTGGTTAGGGAAATGATCCAGTATTTATATCATTGAAGTTCCAGAAGAAGAGAAATAGAATGGGACTTAAAAAAAAGTATTCAAAGAAACAATGGCTAAAAATACTCAAATTTGCCAAAAAGCATAAATCTAGAGATCCAAGAAGCTGAATCAATCCCAAGTATGTTAAATGCAAAGAACGTATGTAAAGACGCATCATAATGAAACTCTTAAGAACTAAAGAAAAGGTATTAAGAGCAGCAAAGGAACATGTCTTCTTGTCTATAAAGAAAAAACAACTTTAATGGCAACGTGTTTCTCATCCAAATCATGGAGGCAAAAAGGAAGTGGCACAGCATTTTTTAAGAGCTGAATGGAAAGAATAGTCAACCCAGAATTCTATACCCAATGAGAATATCGTTTAAGAATAAAGGAGAAATCCATTCTCAGAAAAAGAAGAACAAAGAGAATTTGTCACTAGCAGATATCCCCAAAATAATGGCTAAAGGAATTTATTGAAATAGAAAAACATAAGAAATTTTTTAACCACAGAAAGGAAAAGAAAACAATACAAAAAGTGAAAATATGGGCAAGTATAATGGACTTTCCTTTGCCCTTTGAATTTTCTAAACTATTTATAATGGTCGAAGCAAAAAATAATCTGCTTGGTGTAATTATTAAACTAATGAAATATTTAAGATTAAAATCAAGGAAGAGTAAAAGGCAATAAGGTTTCTACATTTCATTCAAACTGGTAAAATGTTAACTATGATAAATAATGTGTCTATAATACTGGAGAAACCACTGAAAAAGCTACAAAGAGTGACACAAAAACACTGCAGATAAAGCAAAATCAAATTCTAAACCTTGTTGAGATAACCCATGGGAAGGCAGGGGAAAGAAAACAAGATATTGAAACAGAACAAGCAGGAAACGCTATATAAAATGGGTTCGTTATGTATTAAATATTCATAATTACATTCGATGTAAATGGCTGGAACATAGCAGTAATAAAACAGAAGTTAGCAGAGAGGATTAAAAAAATAAAGTGTGATCCAGCTATGATGCGCCTCCACGAAAGTCACTTGAAATAGGATAATATTTGTACAGCGTTCACGTAATCACCAAAAACTGGAAACGACGAAAATATCCCTCAACAAGCGAACGCCTAAAGAGACTCTGGAGCACCCAGACGGTGAGATAGTACCCAGCAGTAGGAAGGGACGAAGCACTGATGCAGCAGCACTTTAAATGTGCCAGCGCATTGTGCTGAGGGGAAAAAAAGCTAGTATCAAAAAGTGTTATCTTAGTTTGTGTTTAAATTAAGGGATTTACTTCTGACTGCAGTCAGATGCCAGGATTTATATTCACTCATGCCTCCAAGGTCAAGAAGAAAGTTGTTCCACGATTCTGTGAGGCCAGGATCATCCTCCAAAGCCTTTTTTTTTTTTTTTTTGAGACGGAGTTTCGCTCTTGTTACCCAGGCTGGAGCGCAATGGCACGATCTCGGCTCACCGCAACCTCCGCCTCCTGGGTTCAGGCAATTCTCCTGCCTCAGCCTCCTGAGTAGCTGGGATTACAGGCACGCGCCACTGTGCCCAGCTAATTTTTTGTATTTTTAGTAGAGACGGGGTTTCACCATGTTGACCAGGATGGTCTCGACCTCTTGACCTCGTGATCCACCCACCTCGGTCTCCCAAAGTGCTGGGATTACAGGCGTGAGCCACCGCGCCCAGCCCCAAAGCATCTTATATGTACCAGACTCAGCTGAGATAACCTTCCTGAACTCCCTCATGCCTTCCCCCTAGAGGAAGTCATGCCAGCAGGCATCTTCTCAGAGTACCCTTCTTTACTAGGTAAAAAAAAAATCAGGACCTGCCAGAGCTCCTAAACAGGGCAGTTAGTGACCCCAGATTCACGGGCCCCAGAATCACAAGAACCTGAGTGTGAGCAGTCACCACCTCTGCAGCTCAGTGGGAAGACCGTAAAATATCTGCACTGCAGTACTGGTCAGATAATAGGTTCTGTTCTGTATTAAATACAGATTCCTGTGATTCTGGGGCCCGTGAATCTGGGGTCACCTGTTCCCTGTACTGAATACAAATGCCTAAGCTTTCTTTTTCTTCAGCACTGTATAGTTTCAGGGTGGGGGTGGAGGTGGGGAGGATAAAGCACATGGCCACTGTCTACAGCTGGAATAGAGGCCATTCGTGACAGCTGAGGGACAAAGTCTGTGGAAATTGCAGACACAAACAGTTTGAATTTCTACTGAAATAGAAACTAAGATTTTGAACTTCTTAGACACGATGTGGTCACATTTTTAAAAGTTGAATCTGGTGTTCATTAAAAGAGAATAATGGCTTTCAGCTTCATCCATGTCCCTGCAAAGGACATGATCTCATTCTTTTTCATGGTTGCATAGTATTCCCTGGGGAGAACATTAGGGAAGAGTTAATGCATGCCGGGCTTAATACCTAGGTGATGGGTTGATGGGTGCAGCAAATCACCATGGCACGTGTTTACCTATGTAACAAACATGCACACCCTGCACATGTACCCTGGAACTTTAAAAAAACACAATAAAATAAATTTTTTAAAAGAACTTTTTTTCGTAAAACTACATCTGACATCAGTATAGACTTCTCCAGCTTACGTGGCATTTTTACATGAAATTTTGCCACCTATGTTAAAGGGTGCCCGGCATTCTGTTTTCACTGCACGAGTTAAGGAAACTTAATTCAAAAATGGTGATTCCTCATGCCCAAATGCTGAAGAAGCCGGAGCAAGGCAGAGGGCGTGGACTTTCAGGCGGTATTGTTTACACCTCAACAAGCTGTCCACCCCATGCTTTGAGACTCGTTCTCTAGCTGGCCCTGGCAGAGCTGCCGTGAGCAGGTGCAGGGAGGCTGGTATGCTGCAGTGAAGGTGGAAAGTCGCGTGTCCTCATCTGTCCTGTGTACCTAGTTCTCCGACCAGTACTGCAGTGCAGATATCTTACAGTCTTCCCGCTCAACTGCAGAGGTGGTGACCGCTCAAACTCAGGTTCCTGTGATTTTGGGGCCCCTGAATCTGAGCTCTGGCAGGTCCTGATCTCTTGGGGCGCTCACCAACAAGATAGTGAGTCTCAGCCTTTTTCACAGGATAATCACTCGTTTTATCCTTACGTTCAACACTCTCCATTTCTTTTCTCACGTTTTCTCCTCTAAGCGGTCCATCTCGTGTGTCTCTTCTGGATGTTTTTCACAATCTTTGATTAAACCTCCCGTGTGGACCCATGCATTTGAAATGGTGAAAGTCAAACCAACACTGAGTATTACCAGATAATTGATTCATTCGATGCAAAGCATTCATTTAAATGCCTCAAATGCACCAGCCACTGCATGGGGACAGGCAAACAAAGACAAGTAAGGTACTGTTTTTGGCTTAAAGGCCACACAATCTATCTGGGAGAGAGATACGTAAAGACGTATGTGATTCCCTGTGATAATGACGACAGAAAGGGCTGAGATTGTAGACGGTACAGGGACGTCGCAGACGTGTGTGTGGTCACCTCTGCCTTGAGGACAAGAGTAGTCCTGGAGCCAGGTCTTCAAGAACAGTCGGGATTTTCCAGCTGGGGAGGGAGGAGAAGTAAAAAAATAAAAGGGTTTCGCTGGGCAGGAGTGTGAGATGTGGAACAGCAGGGACTATGTAGGACTGCAGAAAGAGCGTCTACATTAAAAATTACTTAAAAGGCCAAATGTCCAACGATGAGAGAATCACTGAATGAATTGAAAGCCGTCCACTTCATTCAGGCATTTACACGTTATTGTGAAGACTGTAATAAGATACTGCATTGAAACATTGCTTACAAAATTGTATGGACGTTAAAATTCAAAGTAACCTTGCCCGAGGTATGTAGCACCGGGGACTCGTGTGAGGCTGCCGTGCTGGGGCGGACGGCTGTGGGTGACTGTCTGCGAGTCCTGTTGCATGCTGTGTCCTTTACAACATGCTGCCCGTCCTCTGTACAGGCATCACCACGGTGCTGACCATGACCACCCTGAGCACCATCGCCAGGAATTCCTTGCCGCGTGTGTCCTACGTGACCGCCATGGACCTCTTTGTGACCGTGTGCTTCCTGTTTGTCTTCGCCGCGCTGATGGAGTATGCCACCCTCAACTACTATTCCAGCTGCAGGAAACCAGCCGCCACCAAGAAGGCAGCATCGGTGAGCGGCAGAGCAAAGGTTCTCCGGGAGGCGGTGGGTGCTGTGTGAGTCGAATGTGTGCTTAGATGTGGTTGTATTCCTAAGGCTCGTATAAAGCATGGTAGAAATACCCAATTCAACACGACTTTTTAAAACCAGACAGGGGTTCTGAAGATTTGAATGTGACTCGAAGGCATCTCTGGTGGCACCTGCCAGTGACGTGGTTTGGTTTAGTCATACCCCAAAGACTGCTCTTAAGAGTGATGATCTTGGATGCACATGTTCATGACAGCTTCCTCATTATCTTTCTTCTTTTGTTGTTGTTACAGCATCCAGATTCCTCAAGATGGATTCCTGAGCGAATAAGCCTCCAAGCCTCCTCCGTACGTATAGCCTTGCAGGTGCAATATTTGAGAACTTTCACTCCACTAAGAATGCGTTTGAAAGATGCGTTGCCGTCGATGCGTGCGTGTGTCGAAGGCCAGTGAGTGATGTGCATGTGTCTGGCATTATGTTAAAAGCCCAACTTTGACCCTTTGGAAATTGGAAAAGTAATCACAGTCCTTCTACATGGGGATTAGCGTATGGCATATATAGCTCTGACTTTTTTAGCCATTCAAATAATCAATGTTTATGCATTTTAGAAAAACCGAATTATGATCTTTATATTGTCTTCTAGCCTCTTTTACAACTCAAAAATATGCACTTCAGTTTTGTGCCACAAATATTATTTTATAGGATCACTTTAAGGAATGCATCATAAGCTCGTGATTGAGGCACAGGCAGTCTCAGCGGGACACTGGGCTTATCTGCATTTACATTCTCAGCACTACCAATCTGTACACACCTGTGGCCATTTACTTGGTTATAAATTCTTAGAAGCAGATTGTTTGAGCAGAGGGCTGCATGGTCTTTTGTCTTTGCCAGATAACACTCCGCCAGCCCCTCAGCAATGCCAGACACCCATCCCGGAACGTTCCCTGCGTTCAGCGTGATGGTCCAGCGGGAAAGGATCGCTGCAAACTATTCTCATAGGCCCTTCTCTGACCGTTGATAATACTGTCACTTGTTTATTTTTGATTTGCATTTCCATTTTTGCGAATTGCTTTTGAATGTTTTTTAACTTTTGTTAGTATTTTAAAGTAGCGATCGGACAGTTGCATATGTCATATATTATATAAATGGCATTTTATAAAATACATACTTTATATAGTCATATATAGACTATATTAAGGGTATTCATGTTTGTCATGCAGCTTTCATTCCAAGTTGAATTGGCAACACTGCCGCTGTCCTTTTGTGCCTTGTTCTGTGTGTCATCTGGTTTCACGCTGTCAAATCTATCAGTGTTTTGCTTTGTCGCTGCTGCTTGAGTTCTGCTTTGGAAGGTCCTTCTGTCCTCAGGATGACGTGGCCTCTTCACTTTGTTTTGAGAACTTTGCCTCACGTTCTGTTCTTTGCGCTTTCATCCATCAACCCTCTTTATTCTCACAAGAGAAAACCGAAGTGTGGGTAAGTTAAGCCCTGTAAATACTGACCAGGGTTTGACAATTTAAAAGCAAACGTGTTACATTTAACTGTTGACACATCTAAATTTCTTTTGGCTAGAGTAACAATGTAGCATTATTGAAAAATCGCGAAATATATTTTTTAATTGCTGATGTGAACTACAACTTTTATCATATGACAACTTTTTTTTTTCTTTCTTCTTTTGAGAGGAGTTTCACTCTTGTTACCCAGGCTGGAGTGCAATGGCGCGATCTCGGCTCACCGCAACCTCCGCCTCCTGGGTTCAGGCAATTCTCCTGCCTCACCCTCCCGAGTAGCTGGGATTACAGGCACACGCCACCATGCCCAGCTAATTATTTGTGTTTTTAGTAGAGACAGGGTTTCACTATGTTGACCACGATGGTCTCGATCTCTTGACCTCGTGATCCACCCGCCTCGGCCTCCCAAAGTGCTGGGATTACAGGCTTGAGCCACCGCGCCCGGCCCCATATGCCAACTTTTATTTACAATCCCGACTTCTATTCCTTTATACATATGTCTACTAATTACAATTTACTAGTTGCACTGAATGTATCGAGACCACGCGTAAGCCACAGGTGGTTTGGTACTTGTCAGTCAGGACCTCATACGCAGCACATTTCCAGCCCAAGGTCAGGAGACCACGTAGTCATCTGCACTCTGCAAGTGTGGATCATGACAGTTCATCCAGAAGGTTAGTGGGCAAATCACTGTTAACAGCTGCGGGAAGCCACAGCAAACACACAGATTTCAGCAGCAAAGGCTTCCAAATGGCATGGGACCAAAAGAGAGGGGGAGGGCGTACATCACCACACATAGCCAGGACCTGAGTGTTGGAAGAGGAAACAGTGACATATTCAGGACAGAAATGATGCTCTCAAAAGAAAGAAAAACTCCTTTATCACAGAGAGAAAAAGATCGTATCACAAAATGGGCAGGAATTCTTTTTTTAAAAAAAGGAAAAAGTAGGAAAGTTTAATGACTTTGAAGAAAGTACATAGGAAAATAATTCACAGACAGAAAGGGTGCCAGGCCAGGTGAGAAGACACAGCCGGAGAGGTAGAGCTGAAGGAAAGGAAGTGTGTCCTCTGCTGAGTGAGAACTGCCAGCGTTCCCACTCGGTTCTGAACGGTCGGTAGCCTGATGCTGGTGCAGGAGCCACCGTGACTAGCACGGAGCAGCAGAAATGAGCAGCCTCAGAGTGATGAGTGCCGGGGGCCAGGCTCCGCGATCAGTCACATGCATGGCGTGGGGCGAGCTGTTCCATTGCTCTGTGCCCCTTTCCTCAACTGTGGAATGCAAGGCTGAGGAGCTGCACATGTGCCCAGGAAGCACAGGACTCCAGGGCACTCAGGGTCTGCGCTATACACACCGACAAGAGGAGGGAGTCAGGGACCCAGCTGGGCTGCAGAGGACTCTGGGGAACCATTCACTGGCATCTCTATCTTGGGCACAGTTTGAAATTTTCATGACAAATGAGAAGGAGGCAAGTACAGAAGTTCATAAGCTGTTTAGGGCTCTTAAGATCCTACATTTTGCTTCAGCCTTATAAAATGGAATTTGTTTACTTCGAATCAGTGAACTACAGAGACATAAGAGCTATTTTAATTATTGTAAATACTGTCCATAGGTGCCATGGCTGGGTTTTTAGTTCTCTAAGTAAAGTGAAATGGAGCTTTCTCTTGCTCCAGAAACCATCCTGCTGCCTTGCCTGCGGCCTCCACGCATTGCGCTTTAGATCTCTGGTGAGCCATCCCCACACCTGCAGAGCCTTCTGCCTCCCAGTCTGAGTCAGAACCCTCCTGTGGGGCTGCTCTGCCTTGCAGAGGCAGGCTTCTCCTCTGTGTCTTCAGTAGCCCCCACTTTCATCCACATAGCAAGAAAATACACAGAGGCATGGGGCTGAAGCAATGCGTGGATGAACGGCTGGCTGACCACTATCAAAGCACACGTGTAGGAAAACCTTTATTGCAATTGTTAATAAAGTCACCTCTTTGCTACTGGAGCTTGTCAAAAGAGGCAGCTCCCTCAAATGGAGTGGGGTAGAGGCAGGGAACCTCTATGTTTTGTCAAATCCCTGGTGATGTTTACATCTACTTGGGGCAAAGAGCATTAAGAGCTTTAGGCTAGAAGAGACATGTCCACATTAGGGCCATAGAGACAGCAGGACTTACATTCTGCCTCCTCTTCAGGATTGCAGAGGAGGAGAAGGGTGGGCAGCCGCAACATGAGCCCCCACTAGTAGCAGAGGCCGGTGGCCACACGTGTGAGGAAGCAGCAACACCCTGTGGACATGTGGTCCGGGCCATCCTGCTGTAGGTCCCTCCTCACACAAAAATGCTTCCCATTTCAAAGAACCCACCAGTCCTTGCACCAGGTTGCAGGTACTGACTCTGAGTGCTCGACCAGCACTTCCCCCTGTCTGCGATTTATGCCTTCACGACTGTGAGCATGTCCAATCAAACTGAGGCCTGAAAGTAGGAGGGAAAGCAGCGCCATGTCCTCTTGTGATCGTATTTTTGGGTGCAAGGCTAAGAGGTTGTCACGATGCTTTCTAAGGAATTCCGGATGGCCTCTGCCCAGCAGCGCCACACCCAGGCAAAGGCCCTCGCCAGGCAGCACGCTGAGAAGCGTTCCCTCTCCACCCCTCCTCCGTGTCAGCCCCCACGGCTGCCACTGATGCCTGTCTCAGGTCAGCTGGCACAAATGATACAAAGCAGGCAGGCAAACGTGCCTCTCAGTTCTCTTCCATTATTCAGTCCACTCTGGAAATGTATCCCCTCAGCAGAATTCGATGTAGTGCACACTTCAGAGTTTTTTAGACGAGGTCAGCCTCTGAAGAATTCACAAGTCTATTGGCGGCTGTGTCCCAGGGTGAAGAATGATTCCTCTCGTTCGGGAGTGAATAGTGCGTTGTTCTCTCTCCTTTATCTGCTCCACTTGGACTTTTCCACGTTAAGAAGAGGGCTTGGGAGGTAGAAAAGAAAGCACTGCAGGCGTGCACATTTTTGGTTATGCCTCTTGAGATGGTGAGCAGTGTCCAGCCGCCTCACACTGGGAAAGCTCCCTTTCCCCAGAATCTCATGGGACGCGAGGGTCCTCTCATGACTCCTGCACATCAGACCTTTCACTACTCACTAATTAGAAAAAGAGAACACATTTATCTCTGCACAGTTCAATATGCGTACTGTTTCACATTTAAGAGATAAACACGTAGCATATTCATACTTACTACAAAGCCACAGAAAAGTAGGCAGAATAGGGACTTCAGAGGACTAACGCACATTCAAAAATGTGCTTAAACTTCTTCATTAATCTGCAAAATACAAGATTTGAAAATGCAGTGCAATTTTCCTTGCATTAGAATTGCAAGGAGTGAAAAGACTGGGGTCTCCTCTCAGCTTTGGCGCCCCCTCCTCTGTCTCCGTAGAGGGGCTGCTGCTTTTTTCCTCCTCCTTCTAGCCTGGTAAACTCTCTGCTTCTTTAAAAAAAAAAAAAAAAAAAAAAAAAGACCAACTCTCTCCAGCATGGGGAAGTGTGGGGGATGGGCATGTCCGTTCATCCTGTTTATCTAGGAGACAGATGTAATATCGCTTTATACACGTCAGGGTGTTCTTGTTGCATTTTGCGATGATGGTTGTGTCATTCTTGTTGCCTACAGAACTATTCCCTCCTGGACATGAGGCCGCCACCACCTGCGATGATCACTTTGAACAATCCCGTCTACTGGCAGGAGCTTGAGGACACCTGTGTCTATGAGTGTCTGGATGGCAAAGACTGCCAGAGCTTCTTCTGCTGCTATGAAGAATGCAAATCAGGGTCCTGGAGAAAAGGTCGTATTCACATAGACATCTTAGAGCTGGACTCCTACTCCCGGGTCTTCTTCCCCACGTCCTTCCTGCTCTTTAACCTGGTCTACTGGGTGGGGTACCTGTATCTCTAAGGGTTGTCGCAGTGAAGAGTGACGAGCGTTTGGTTCACACCTGACCTTCCGTTGCTTCTCCGTTGGGAGTGGCAAGGAGGGACACTGCTCAGTGCATCTTGTTATAAATGACCTTTGAGCGACACAGGAAGTACTCAGCAAAGGTTTCTACTACGTATCTCACACATACACACGCGCTCGTGCTGATTGAGTTTTAAAGTAATGTTCTTGCTAATCCCTACTGAACTGTAGCTTGGTGTTGTTTCTGAGTGGTGTTTTGGATATTGGAAGCAGCTGATGATTACTCTTGCAAAGAAATCTGTAAAACGTGCAGGCGAATGTCTGAGATGCTCTCTCAGGCCCTTGGTCCTCCTGCAAATTTCCTTCGCAGCCCTGGGTGTAGTGCCCACGTGTACTGAACCACCCCAGGCCGAGCCCCACTCCTGCTGGCTCAGCCAGGGCTCTCTGAGCTCCAGTGTGAGCAGCGGTGGGTTTCAGCCCCGGTCTCCTCTCTCTGTGCCCTCTCTGGCTCTGGCACCGTCGTCGTTAGCTGGCACCGGTTACCTAATAGCATCGCTCTAGGCCTGGGAAGAGTACTCTGGCATTGCCCACGGTTTCCATTGGAGGAGAAAATAAGATTTTCAAAATGCTCGTGTTGTTGGGTCAAAGATGATTATTTCTGATCATCAGAAGGTTATTACTTTATTTTAACTTGTGAGGGGCAACAATATTCGAACTTTGGGTTCTTGGACTAGTTCAACAACATTTTACCATAAGAGCTGTGCTTACTAGACCGAGAGTGTGTGCTCAGCCCCAGAGTGTGTGTCTAGCTTATGTCATATTATTATGGGTTCAGTAATTGTCTTCATTTTGCAAAGAAAGGTATACAGTGCTCACAGCCTGTTATCTTGAAACAAACACCAGAGTGTGAAAGACATGTAGATAAAATTTTATTTTATTTATTTATTTTGAGATGGAGTCTCACTCTATTGCCTAGCCAGGCTGGAGTACAGTGGCACCATCTCGGCTCACTGCAACCTCCGCCTCCCAGGTCCAAGCGATTCTCCTGCCTCAGCCTCCCCAGTACAGGTACGCACTACCACACCCGGCTCATTTTTGTATTTTTTTTTTTAGTAGAGGCAGGGTTTTGCCATGTTGGCCTGGCTGGTCTTGAACCCCTGACCTTGGGTGATCTGCCCGCCTCAGCCTTCCAAAGTGCTAGGATTATAGGCGTGACCTATCACGCCCGACCAAGATTTTAAAAATTTCATAGTGAATATTAATTTTCAACTCAAACCAACTTTAGATGCAAAAAATGGGCAATGGTGATCATCAAGTACATATTTTGATGAACAAGATTATTTTGTACTTTGAAATATGGATACATAGCAAAATCCCAAAGAAAAAAAAATCCTCCCAAATCAATACTCTTTTGATATTTTTATAACACAAAACCAACTTGCTTCTTGCTGTTAGTTTGTTGTTACAGCTGGATGCCAGTGTGAACTACAGTAGACTTTCCAGAACTTCTCTTCATCAGTAGGGAAAACACAAGCCCTACCAGTTAGTCAATAATGCTTTGGCATTATTAAAATTTGGAACCAGAATCTCTGTGCTTCTCATCTTTCTCACACAGAAAACTCAATTCATTTCACCTAGAAAACATGATTTTAAAAACTGTCTATTGAGCATACCATAATTACTCAGATAAGTAAAGTATTTTGCAGAGAAAGTATAGAAAAGTGTCGGTTACACACAATTTCCTACATGTATACCAGACACAGAAGAGGATGGGAGTGGAATAGGCCAGAAAAATTGAAACTAGCTTTACCTGCTTTATTTTTTTGTGGGGGGAAGTCTTGCTCTGTCACCAGGCTGGAGTGCAGTGGCACAATCTCGGCTCACTGCAACCTCCGCCTCCTGGGTTCAAGTGATTCTTCCACCTCAGCCTCCCGAGTAGCTGTGACCACAGGCGCGTGCCACCACGCCCGGCTAATTTTTTTCTATTTTTAGTAGAGACGGGGTTTTACCATGTTGGCCAGGATGGTTTTGATCTCTTGACCTTGTGATCTGCCCACCTCGGCCTCCCAAAGTGCTGGGATTACAGGCATGAGCCACCGCGCCCGGCCTGCCTGCTTATTCTTATTAAGATTGTTGCATATTAAATGAATGCAAAGATACAGATATATGAGGCCCCAGTTTTCAAGGATGGAGTCTGCACAGCGTGAGACATTCAAACTCATGGTTTTTCTGTCAACTCTCTGCCTTTTGGTTTGGTAGTTGTTACAAAAGCCACAAGCCAATTGGCTTCAATTTAGTAAATTCAGTTTTGAAAATATTATTTGTGAAGAAACAGGTTGAAAATACTGTCTTAAATGAAGTGTCTCCTCTATTGGAGAGGTCCACACTCTGGTCCTCTAGTTCTGTCTCTCATGTGTCAGCAACCTCAGCCGTGGCAGAGAGATTCTGCAGGGATCCTGAGCAGAGGAGTCCAGGTCACACCACAGCAATGAGCACCAAGGGAAGCAGGTCCAAGGACAGTTTTCAAACACAATGTCCAACCTTTTGATGGGTAACTTTAACAAGCAACCTGCTACATTTTAAAAGAAGTTCTAGAGAGAACTGAATTTTCTAGCAAAATTCTAATTGGGAGGAGAATAACCTAAAATAACTTTTTTATAACATGGATTTGTTCAATTTTACCTTAAAAGAATTTTCCTGATGCCTCATGTTTGTCTCAAAACCACTCAATATTTGGATATTTGTAGCAAACCCTCTTGAAATTTTACAGGTAGGGTAAATACACCAATAGCCTCCGTTTTCTGAATCCAGCCATTCTCTTCCCAACCTCAGCAGTCCTCCTGGGGAAAACAGAGGCATTCAATGCCCCTTTTCCAGGAAGGAAGACCTTCATCTAAGGAAAGTCCAGTGGATTTCACTGAGCAGCATAGCGTAGATTCCTGCATATATAGCAGGCTACCCAGTAGGGGTCTGAATAAAAAGAGCTGAAGCACCCCTAAGAGCAGGTCCATGCCGGGTTCTCTGCAGGTTTGCACAGCTCAACTTCTCCATAACAATTTCAACTCCTGAGATGAGCCTTTTCAGTCCACAATACGGGAGAGGTGAGTGTGCCTCGCTGAGCTGCAGAGCTCAGGGGCTTCTTCAGATGTGCGTGTTTACTGTCTAGAGGAAGCAGAGGAGCAGTGTGGGGAGAGTTGGAGGGAAGTGACTTTGTTTCACTGAAGACTGTCCTTTGCCAGGATGCCTTATCAGGAGGGACGTGTGTGGGCATGGGGCACAGGGCTGCTCGACACAGCTAAGCCCCAGCGTGCTGTGCACATGGAATTGGGAACTATCTGGGGTGGAAGGTGTCTGAGTGGTCTGCATTCCGAAGGTGCTACTCTGTTCCTCACTTTCAGAAATACTTGAAGTTGAGGAGATGACAGTTTTGTATTTTGACATGGAATCCAAATTTCTGATCACTGTGGATCCCACTTTAAACTGTGACTATCTCTTTTAAGCTGCACACTGGGTGAGGGGGAAAGAGAAGAAAAAGCATTTCACATTAATGGAATTGGAGAAAATGTCACTTCAGAGCCTAGAAAAATTTCAGCTTCTGCAAAGTCCCAACGCCACCTACCAGAACAGAGACTCCCTACTTACCAGACAGAGAAGGACAGTGTTAGTATAATTTACTCTGGACCCAGCTGGTATTACCCCCAGTTTACCCAAAATATGCCTTAAAATGAAACAAAGCTCAAATAACACGCAACTTGTAGGATTTCCCATTTCCTGCAGTCAGCTCTATTCCATGCCCAGCTTTATTTATCTTTACCAATGGATGGAAATAGGATTTCATTTCTTCATATGCCAAACAGTCTTCCCTTACCTTTACATCAAATCAATTAAGTACAAAGATTTTGCAGGTTCTTCAACTGAGGAAATGCTTGTCCTCAATAGCATAGGGGAAGTTGGGGTCAATCTAAACATCATCCACACAGTCCTTCTGGGGATGTGTGTCTCTGCAGAACCTTCACACCGAATCATTTCAGCTGGTGAGTGCTTGCTGCAGTCAGAGTGAGTTTGCAGGCACGTTACTTCGCTGCTGTGCAAACCAGCCACACTCTGGAAGCCTCAGGAGAGGGGCCAGTTAGTTACCCGTTCTGCATTGACTCCAGTCCCCACGACCTGGAAGCAGCAGGCCGCTCTGTCTAAAGGGCTAGAACACAAAACCCCTTCTTCCTTGACCGTTTTTATCTCAGCTGCCGAAATGGGAATTTTCTGTGCTTTCCTTCGAGACTGGAAGAGTTAGACCTAGTCTCCAGCCACTCCTCTTATCACCATATCGGTTCAGTGCTCTCAAGGCAAAAGCGCTTTGAATCCGCTCCATGATCTTGCGACTCTTTTCGAGCGACTTTAGACTGTCGTGTAAGAAACTTCATCTGCGATTTCTGTATTAAAAAAGCAGTGAAGGACTTGAGATACATATGATCTGACGTAAATATGCATTTGTACTGTCCACCTTAGAGTTCAGAGCACTGTCATTTCACAAATATTCAGAGAGGTTCTGGAAATGAGGGGAAAAAACAGACAATGACTACATTTGTTAAATTTACAAAGTTCTGCTGAGCCCCCTTCAAAACTCCCAGAATCAAGAGAGTATGTAATCTGTACCTATTGTTTTCCCAGATTTGCCTGGAGGAAACATTCAGGTTCAGAGAGTTTAGCAGTGCCTCTGTGTTTGTGTTCTCTCTATAATCACATCAAAGAACCAAAAAATAACACTTCAGGATAAATGACAGCCCCATCGCCGATCCCTCATTGGCTTATGTTTTATTATAAGAATCCATCTCTATTGTTATAGAGAGAAAACATGTATGTCTTGAGATGATCGGATAAGAGCGCAGACATTCAGCATTTCTGGCAGAATAAAAACTTAGCTTTCTTTCCCTTAATGTCTAATAGTTTTGAAGACTGCAGATTAGGGCATTTCCATTCCTCCTTTTGGAATTCCTACTGATTACAAGCTAGCAACTTCAGGATATCAGCTTGATCTAGTTGTCATAAGGCCAAAAGGGAGACATATGTTTCTTTGTTTTATTTTATTTTTTATTTTTTTGAGGCAGAGTTTTACTCTTGTTGCCCAGGCTGGAGTGCAATGGCACCTCCACCTCCTGGGTTTAAGTGATTCTCCTGCCTCAGCCTCCAAGGTAGCTGCGATTACAGGTGTGCACCACCATCCCTGGCTAATTTTTATTATTGCACTTTTGGTTCTGGGGTACATGTGCAGACCATGCAGAATTGTTGCATAGGTACACACATGGCAATGTGGTTTGTCCATCCCCGGCCATCACCTACGTCTGCCATTTCTCCCCATGTTATTCTTCCCTGACCTCCCCAACTGTCCCTCCCCTGGACCCCCACAACACACCCCAGTGTGTGATGCTCCCCTCCCTGTGTCCATGTGTTCTCATTGTTCAACACCCACCTATGAGAACATGTGGTGTTTGATTTTCTGTTGTGTCAGTTTGCTGAGTATGATGGTTTCCAGGTTCATCTGTGTCCCTACAAGGGACATGAACTCATCATTTTTTATGGCTTCACGGTATTCCATGGTGTATATGTGCCACGTTTTACTTGTCCAGTCTATGGTCGATACACATTTGGGTTGGTTCCAGGTCTTTGCTATTGTAAACAGTGCTGCAGTGAACATACATGTGCATGTGTCTTTATGATAGAATGATTTATAATCCTTTGGATATATACCCAGTAATGGGATTTGTATTTCTGGGTCAAATGGAATTTCTATTTCTAGGTCAAATGGATTTCTATTTGACCTAGAAAGGGATTTCTATTCTGGGTCAAATGGAATTTCTATGTCTAGGTCCTTGAGGAAATGTTCACACTGTCTTCCACAATTGTACTAATTTACACTCCCACCAACAGTGTAAAAGTGTTCCTATTTCTCCACATCCTCTCCAGCATCTGTTGTCTCCAGATTTTTTAATGATTGCCATTCTACCTTGTGTGAAGTGGTATCTCAATGTGCTTTTGATTCGCATTTCTCTAATGAACAGTGATGATGAGCATTTTTTCATGTTTGTTGGTCTCATATATGTCTTCTTTTGGAAATTGTTCATATCCTTTGCCCACTTTTGGATGGGTTTGTTTTTTTCTTGTACATCTGTTTTAGTTATTTGTAGATTCTGGATATTAGCACTTTGTCAGATGGGTGGATTGCAAAGATGTTTTCCCATTCCGTTGGTGGCTGGTTCACTCTAATGATTGTTTCTTTTGCTATACAGAAGCTCTGGAGTTTAATTAGATCCCATTTGTCTATTTTGGCTTTTGTTGTCATTCCTTTTGGTGTTTTAGTCATGAAGTCCTTGCCTATGCCTGTGTCCTGAATGGTTTTGCCTAGATTTCCTTCTAGGGTTTTTATCGTGCCAGGTCTTATGTTTAAGTCTTTAATCCATCTGGAGTTAATTTTAGTGTCAGGTGTCAGGAAGGGGTCCAGTTTCTGCTTTCTGCACATGGCTAGCCAGTTTTCCCAACACCGTTTATTAAACAGGGAGTCCTTTCCCCATTGCTGGTTTTTGTCATGTCTGTCAAAGGTCAGATGGTTGTAGATGTGTGGTGCTGCCTCCGAGGCCTCTGTTCTGTACCATTGGTCTACATCTGTTGTGGTGCCAGTACCATGCTGTTTTCATTACTACAGCCTTGTAGTATACTAGTATAGTTTGAAGTCAGGTAGTGTCATGCCTCCAGCTTTGTGGGTTTTTTTTTTTTTTTTTTTTGCTTAGAATGGGCTCAGCTATGCAGGCTCTCTTTTGATTCCATATGAAGTTTAAGGTGGTTTTTTCCAGTTCTGTGAAGAGGGTCATAGGTAGTTTAATTGGGTAGCATTGAATCTATAAATTACTTTGGGCAGTATGGCCATTTTCACAATATTGATTCTTCCTAACCATGAGCATGGAATGTTTCTGCATCTGTCTGTGTCCTTTCTCATTTCCTTGAGCAGTGGTTTGTAGTTCTCCTTGAAGAGGTCCTTTACATCCTTTGTTAGTTGTATTCCTAGGTATTTTATTCTCTTTGTAGCAATTGTGAATGGCAGTTCGTTCTTGATTTGGCTTTCTTTAAGTCTGTTATTGGTGTATAGGAATGCTTGTGATTTCTGCACATTGATTTTGTATCCTGAGACTTTGCTGAAATTGCTTATCAGTTTCAGGAGTTTTTGGGCTAAGATGATGGGGTCTTCTAAATATACAATCATGTCGTCTGCAAATAGACACAATTTGACTTCCTCCTTTCCTAATTGAATACCCTTTATTTATTTTTTTTCTTGCCTAATTGTTCTGGCTAGAACTTCCAGTACTGTATTGACTAGGAGTGGTGAGAGAGGGCATCCTTGTCTAGTGCCAGATTTCAAAGAGAATGCCTCCAGTTTTTGCCCGTTCAGTATGATATTGGCTGTTGGTTTGTCGTAAACAGCTTTATTATTTTCAGAGATGTTCCTCTGATACCGAGTTTATTGAGAGTTTTTAACATAAAGTGCTGCTGAATGTTGTCTAAAGCCTTCTCTGCATCAATTGAGTAATCATGTGGTTTTTGTCTTTGGTTCTGTTTATGTGGTGAATTACGTTTATAGACTTGTGTATGTTAAACCTGCCTTGCTTCCCCAGGATGAATCCTACTTGATCGCGATGGATAAGCTTTTTGATGTGCTGTTGCAATCAGTTTGCCAGTATTTTATTGAAGATTTTTGCATCTATGTTCATCATGTATATTGGCCTGAAGTTTTCTTTTCTTGTTGAGTCCTGCTGGGTTTTGGTACCAGGATGATTTTGGTCTCACAAAATGATTTGGAAAGGATTCCCTCTTTTTGGATTATTTGGAATAGTTTCAGAAGGAATGGTACCAGCTCCTCTTTGTGTGTTTGGTAGAATTTGGCTATGAACCTATCTGGACCTGGGCTTTTTTTGGTTAGTAGGCTCTTAATTGCTGCCTCAACTTCATCCCTTGTTATTGGTCTATTCAAGGTTTCAACTTCCTGGTTTAGGCTTGGGAGGGTGCAAGTGTCTAGGAATTTAAACATTTCTTCCAGGTTTACTGATTCATGTGCATTGAGTTGTTTGTAGTAATCTCTGATTGTAATTTGTATTTCTGTGGAGTCAGTGGTGGGATTACAGGCATGCACCACCATTCCCTTTATCATTTTTTATTGCATCTATTTGATTGTTCTCTTTTCTGCTTTATTAATCTGGCTAGTGGTCTATTTTGTTGATCTTCTCAAAAAACCAGCTCCTGGATTTATTGATTTTTTTTTGAAGGATTTTTTGTGTCTCTATCTCTTTCAGTTCTGCTCTGATCTTAGTTATTTCTTTTCTTATGCTAGTTTTTGAGTTCTTTTTTATCTTGCTCCTCTAGCTTTTTCAATTTTGATGACAGGGTGTTGATTTTAGATCTTTCCTTGCTTCTCATGTGGGCATTTATTGCTATAAATTTTTCTCTAGACACTGCTTTAAATGTGTCCCAGAGATTCTGGTACGTTGTGTGTGTGTTCTCGTTGGTTTCAAAGAACATCTTTATTTCTGCCTTCATTTCATTGTTTTCCAGTCAACATTCAGGAGCCAGTTGTTCAGTTTCCATGTAGTTGTGCGGTTTTGAGTTAGTTCCTGAATTCTGAGTTCTAATTTGATTGCACTGTGGTATGAGAGACTGTCTGCTATAATTTTCATTCTTTTGCATTTGCTGAGGAGTGATTTACTTCCAATTATGTGGTCAGTTTTAGACTAGGTGCCATGCGCTGCTGAGAATAATGTATATTCTGTGGATTTGGGGTGGGGAGTTCTGTATATGTGTATTAGGTCCACTTGTTCCAGATCTGAGTGCAAGTCCTGGATATCCTTGTTAATTTTCTGTCTTGTTGATCTAATATTGACAGTGGAGTGTTAAAAGTCTCTCACTATTATTGTGTGGGAGTCTAAGTCTCTTTGTAGGTTGTTAACAACTTGCTTTATGTACCTGGGTGCTCCTGAATTGGGTGCGTATATATTTAGGATCATTAGCTCTTCTCGATGCATTTGATACTTTTACCATTATGCAATGTCCTTCTTTGTCTCTTTTGATCTTTGTTGGTTTGAAGTCTATTTTATCAGAGACTAGGACTGCAACTCCTGCTTTTTCTTGCTCTCCATTTGCTTGATAAATATTCCTCCATCCCTTTATTTTGAGCCTATGTGTGTCCTTTGGCCATCTTGGATCTCCCCCTATCTTTTTATTATTATTTTTTTTGAGACAAAGTTTTATTCTTGTTGCCCAGGCTGGAGTGGAATGGCACCTCCACCTCCGGGGTTCAAGTGATTCTCCTGCCTCAGCATCCCAAGTAGCCGGGATTACAGGTGTGCACCACCATCTCTGGCTAATTTTTTGTATTTTTAGTAGAGATGGGGTTTCACCGAGTTGGCCAGGCTGGTCTCGAACTCCTGACCTTCAGGTAGTCCACCCGCATAGGCCTCCTAAACTACTGAGATTACAGGCATGAGCCACCACGTCCAGCCAATATTTACCTTTTTAATGTAATCTAACTAATGCTTTGGGTTTTAATGTTGTCAGTAAAACCATTTATACCTTTTATTGCTCTGCTTAATTATAAAAGCCAAATTTTAGCCCAACTTAAATGTTACAGTCCTGAAAAACTAGTTGAACTGTCAGTCACTGATAAGTTTTCCATGTTTTAAGTTAACCAAGTGGGCTTTTTAGATTATACAGGAGCACAAGCTAGAAAATAATTAGGCAGACAAAACATATGTTCACACACACACCCCACTTCCAAAACAAACATTATTTGAATGTAGCATTCAGGGTATTGAGGCGAACACAAATTGCTTTGCTTGAACGGTTCAGATAATCACCTACTTGGAGCACTTCTCTTTTCACGTTTGTAAACACACACAGGGTTTTCCAGCCCAGTGAGCAGGCTGTGCAACGTGAGGAGCATGATGGTTCCTGCAGGGAAGCCAGAGCCTTGAACAGGTGGGAAGGAATAATGAACTCTCCCAGACTGAGCAGGTAGCTGCGACGTTTTCTCCTTTCTTTTCTGGTTTTTCAGGGTTCCTTCTTTGATTTTCCTGAGAAAGGAACATTTACACTTCCCGTGAGGGCTGGGACCCAGATTTCTCGCAGTCGCCTCACTTACTGAAGTTCAATCCCGGTGAATAATGAGTATGTGCCCAACACATTTCTTCAGTATGTTTCTTAGAGTCTAAGAATACATGAGCGAGCCCACAGCGCAATTAGTGCAATCCCCAACGTGTCAATCTTCTCAAAATGACAACATTGCCACTAACCACTTCTTTAAAAAGAATTCAAATTTCTGTTTTTTGCCAAACATTTTTCCCATACCCAGCAACGTGTAAAGTGGACTCCCAAACCTCCTTCCTTGAAGGAACCTGTGGTCCCTGGAGCTAAGCTGTCACTCTAGGGACACGGTGATCATCAGGACTGATGCCAGGAAGGGGAAGATCATTACAGCAAGGCAGTGGGAAGGTGCCAGCATCCGCTTTCCACGTGAGATGGGCTGAGTTTTCACCCAGGAAGTCTGAAGTCTTGGGAAGGGCAGGTGGAGTTGCTCCTGGCAAGGGTGTGACTGTGCACAGGTTGGCATGATTTTCCTTTTGAGTTGACTGGAGTTTTACAACTTGATTCATTAGCACAGGTGTGTGGGAATATGTGTCTGTGCCCACCCACGGCACTTTCTTGGAACTCAGAGCTTCTCTAGTCTGAGGAGATCTATTCGAAAGGACAGTGCTCGACTTTGAATTTATGAAAGATTATTGGAGACATCTTGAGTAGAAGACCCAACCCACTGTCAGCTTCTAATTTTCATGAGCAAATGATGACTGCTTTGATTTGATTAGGCTTTCTTATAACAGGTTTTTATAATTGATTTTATGTTTGTAACAGGAAGGATTTTTTTAATTAATTAATTTATATTATATTGCACTTTAGGTTCTGGGGTACATGTGAAGAACATGCAGGATTGTTGCATAGATACATACATGGTAATGTGGTTTGCTGCCTCCATCCCCATCCCTGTATCTGGCATTTATCCCCATGTTATCCCTCCGCAACCCCCTAGCCCCCCCAGTCTCTCCCCCAGTCCCCTGCAACAGACCCCAGTGTGTGATGCTCCCCTCCCTGTGTCCATGTGTTCTCATTGTTCAACACTTGCCTATGAGTAAGAACATGAGACGTTTGATTTTCTGTTCTTGTGTCAGTTTGCTGAGAATGATGTTCTCCAGGTTCATCCATGTCCCTACAAAGGACACGAACTCATCGTTTTTTATGGCTGCATAGTATTCCGTGGTGTATATGTGCCACATTTTCCTTGTCCAGTCTATGGTCGACGGGCATTTGGGTTGGTTCCAGGTCTTTGCTATTGTAAACAGTGCTGCAATGAATATACATGTGCATGTGTCTTTTATATTCTTATAAAAGAATGATTTATAATCCTCTGGGTATGTACCAGTAATGGGATTGCTGGATCAAATGGAATTTTCTATTTCTAGGTCCTTGAGGAAGTGCCCACACTGTCTGTCTTCCACAATGATTGAACTAATTTACACTCCCACCAGCAGTGTAAAAGTGTTCCTATTTCTCCACATCCTCTCCAGCATCTGTTGTCTCCAGATTTTTTAATGATCGCCATTCTACCTTGTGTGAAGTGGTATCTCAATGTGCTTTTGATTTGCATTTCTCTAATGACCAGTGATGATGAGCATTTTTTCATATGTTTGTTGGACTCATGTGTGTCTTCTTTTGAATAGTGTCTGTTCATATCCTTTGACCACTTTTGGATGGGTTTGTTTTTTTCTTGTACATCTGTTTTAGTTATTTGTAGATTCCGGATATTAGCACTTTGTCAGATGGGTGGATTGCAAAAATGTTTTCCCATTCCGTTGGTTGCTGGTTCACTCTAATGATTGTTTCTTTTGCTGTGCAGAAGCTCTGGAGTTTAATTAGATCCCATTTGTCTATCTTGGCTTTTGTTGTCAATGCTTTTGGTGTTTTAGTCATGAAGTCCTTGCCTATGCCTGTGTCCTGAATGGTTTTGCCTAGATTTTCTTCTAGGGTTTTTATGGTGCCAGGCCTTATGTTTAAGTCTTTAATCCATCTGGAGTTAATTTTAGTGTCAGGTGTCAGGAAGGGGTCCAGTTTCTGCTTTCTGCACATGGCTAGCCGGTTTTCCCAACACCGTTTATTAAACAGGGAGTCCTTTCCCCATTGCTGGTTTTTGTCATGTCTGTCAAAGGTCAGATGGTTGTAGATGTGTGGTGGTGCCTCCGAGGCCTCTGTTCTGTTCCATTGGTCTACATCTGTTGTGGTACCAGTACCATGCTGTTTTCATTACTATAGCCTTGTAGTATACTAGTATAGTTTGAAGTCAGGTAGTGTCATGCCTCCAGCTTTGTGGGGTTTTTTGTTTGTTTGTTTTGCTTAGAATGGGCTCAGCTATGCAGGCTCTCTTTTGATTCCATATGAAGTTTAAGGTGGTTTTTTCCAGTTCTGTGAAGAGGGTCATAGGTAGTTTAATCGGGTAGCATTGAATCTGTAAATTACTTTGGGCAGTATGGCCATTTTCACAATATTGATTCTTCCTAACCATGAGCATGGAATGTTTCTCCATCTGTTTGTGTCCTCTCTGATTTCGTTGAGCAGTGGTTTGTAGTTTTCCTTGAAGAGGTCCTTTACATCCTTTGTTAGTTGTATTCCTAGGTATTTTATTCTCTTCATAGCAGTTCATTTCATTCTTGATTTGGCTCTCTTTAAGTCTTTTATTGGTGTATAGGAATGCTCGTGATTTCTGCACATTGATTTTGTATCCTGAGACTTTGCTGAAGTCGCTTATCACTTTCAGGAGATTTTGGGCTGAGACGACAGGATATTCTAAATAAACCATATTGTCTGCAAAGAGAGACAATTTGACTTCCTCCTTTCCTATTTGAATACCCTTTATCTTTTCCTTGCCTGATTGTTCTGGCTAGAACTTCCACTACTATATTGAATAGGAGTGGTGAGAGAGGGCATCCTTGTCTAGTGCCAGATTTGTTTTTGCCCATTCAGTATAATACTGGCTGTTGGTTTGTCATAAATAGCTTTTATTATTTTGATATGATCCATCGATACCGAGTTTATTGAGAGTTTTTAGCATAAAGGGCTGTTGAATTCTGTCAAAGGCCTTCTCTGCGTCAATTGAGATAAATCATGCGGTTTTTGTGTTTGGTTCTGTTTATGTGGTGAATTACATTTACAGACTTGTGTATGTTCAACCAGCCTTGCATCCCTGGGATGAAGCCTACTTGATCATGATAGCTAAGCTTTTTGATGTGCTGTTGCAATCAGTTTCCCAGTATTTTACTGAAGATTTTTGCGTCTATGTTCATCATGGATCAATATCCTGATGTTTTCTTTTCTTGCCAAGTCTCTGCCAGGTTTTGGTATCAGGATGATGTTGGTCTCATAAAATGATTTGGGTAGGATTCCCTTTTTAAATTGTTTGGAATAGTTTCAGAAGGAGTGGTACCAGCTCCTCTTTGTGTGTCTGGTAGAATTCAGCTGTGAACCCATCTGGACCTGGGCTTTTTTTGGTTGGCAGGCTATTAATTGCTGCCTCAACTTCAGCCCTTGTTACTGGTCTATTCAGGGTTTTGGCTTCTTCCTGGTTTAGGCTTGGGAAGGTGCAAGTGTCCAAGAGTTTATCCATTTCTTCCAGGTTTACTGTTTTATGTAAAGTTGTTTGTAGTAATCTCTGATGGTAATTTGTATTTCTGTGGAATCGGTGGTGATATCCCTTGTTATTGCCTCTATTTGATTCTTCTCGCTTTTCTTTTTTGTTAATCTGGCTAGTGGTCTATTTGTTGATCTTTTAAAAAAAAAAAACAGCTCCTGGATTTATTAATTTTTGAAGGTTTTTTTGTGCCTCTATCTCCTTCAATTCTGCTCTGATCTTAGTTATTTGTTGTTTTCTGCTAGCTTTTGAATTTTTTTGATCTTGCTCCTCTAGATCCTTCAATTTTGATGATAGGGTGTTGATTTTAGATCTTTCCTTGCTTCTCATATGGGCATTTATTGCTATAAATTGTCCTCTAGACACTGCCTTAAGTGTGTCCCAGAGATTCTGGTATGTTGTGTCTTCATTCTCATTGGTTTCTAAGAACACCTTTATTTCTGCCTTCATTTCATTGTTTATCCAACATTCAAGAGCCAGTTGTTCAGTTTCCATGAAGTTGTACGGTTCTGGGTTAGTTTTTAATCCTGAGTTCTAATTTTATTGCACTGTGATCTGAGAGACTGTTTGTTATGATTTACTTCCAATTATGTGGTCAGTTTTAGACTAGGTGCCATGCGGTGCTGAGAATAATGTATATTCTGTGGATTTGGGGTGGGGAGTTCTGTAAATGTCTATCAGGTTTGCTTGGTCCAGATCTGAGTTCACATCCTTGTTAATTTTCTGTCTCGTTGATCTCATATTGACCGTGGTTGAGGAAGTTCTCCTGGATAATATCCTGAAGAGTATTTTCCAGCTTGGATTGATTCTCTCCAGCACATTCAGGTACACCTATCAAAAGTACATTAGGTCTTTTCACATCATCCCATATTTCTTGGAGACTTTGTTCATTTCTTTTCACTGCTTTTTGTCTAATCTTGCCTTCTCATTTTATTTCATTCCTCCTTTTAGTGCTGGTTTCTTCCCATCTTAGTGGATTTATCTCCCTGTGGTCTTTGTGGCTGGTGATTTTCAGATGGGGTCTCTGAGTGGATGTCCTTTTTTTGCTGATGATGAAGTTATTCCTTTGCTTTTTAGGTTTCCTTCTTACAGGCCCTTTGCTGTGGGACTGCTGGAGGTCTGCTCCAGGCCTTGCTTGGGATCACCTGCAGTGACTGCAGAACAGTAGGGGTTGCTGCCAGTGTCTTCTTCCGGTATCTCTATCCCAAAGGATACCCATCATATGTCAGCCTGGGCGCTCCTTTGTGAGGGATCAGGGAGCTGCTTGAGGAGACAGTGTGTCCTCATAGGGGAGCTGAAGTGCTGAGCTGTGACCTCCGTTGTTCTGTTCAGAGCTGCTGGGCAGGTACCTTTAAGTTTGCTGCAGCAGAACTCATAACTGCCTTTTTTTCCCAGGTGCTCTGTCCCAGGAAGGTAGGGATTTATCTCTAAGTTTCTGAGATGCCCTGCCCAGCGAGGAGGTAGCCTAGTCACAGTCTGCCAGCAGAGGCGTTGTCGGTAAGCTGCCATGGGCTCTGCCCAGCTGCTGTGTGAACTTCCTTGCAGTTCTGTTTATAGGGGTATAGTTAGAACTGCCTCGGTAGTGGTAGATGACCTTCCCGGGCCCAGCAGTGCTTTCTGTGAAACTCAGTACACAGCGTTTCAGATTGCTGGTTTGTGTGGGTGGGACCCACCAAGCCAGATCACCTGGCTCCCTGTTTCAGCCCCCTTTTTTTCAGTTAAATGGGCAACTTTGTCTCCCAGCCATCAGTTGAAATGGCTGCCCAGATTTGTGTGAGTTTTTGTGCGGAGATCTGCTGTGCTGGCTGAAATAGCCATGCTGGAGACTCGTGGTGCTTTTCTGCCCGGGAATCTCCTGGTCTATGGGTGGTAAAAGTTCATTTGGAGATGCGGTGATCACCTACCCTGTGCATTCTCGCTGGGAACTGCACTCCAGAGCTGTTACTATTTGGAGATCAGGCAGGATTTTCATTATCAATTTTGTGAATGAGTGAAGGCCCCCACTGCACAGAGCAGCAATTCAGCCACTCTGATGGAGATCAGGGCACCCACTCGATTAGCCTTGGCAGACCCAGGCCACCCTCATCCAGCGTGCTGCGTCCACTGGTCCATGTACCTCCAGGTTCATCTTGGGAGCTACAAAGAGGAAAGAAAGACAAAACTTTGCATTCTTTTTTTTTATAGACGGAGTTTCGCTCTTGTTACCTGGGCTGGAGTGCAATGGCGCGATCTTGGCTCACCTCTGCCTCCTGAGTAGCTGGGTTTACAGGCACGCACCACCATGCCCAGCTAATTTTTTGTATTTTTAGTAGAGACGGGGTTTCACCATGTTGACCAGGATGGTCTCGATCTCTTGACCTCGTGATCCACCCACCTCGGCCTCCCGAAGTGCTGGGATTACAGGCTTGAGCCACCACGCCCGGCCAAAACTTTGCATTCTTAAGCAATTAAAGATTTCTTCCAATGTAATTAAAAAACAAGTAATGTGGGAGAAGATGCACATAACTTGCTCCCTCAAGTTCTAAATTGTCACCCAATATGAAACATTTTAGTGAAAGTAAACGATGCTACATCATCACTCTTGTCCCCTTCCACGTTCCTGCTAGTACTCAGCTATTGGTTCAACACAAAGGCTTAGAGCCTTTTCTAAACTATAGCAAATCCTAGTCCAAAATTTTGCTTGCCTAAAACATGTCCAGAACTGCTGTTTTCCCCAGCAGTCCTGCCTGCCCTGCCTCAATCAGAATTCAAAATGACTATTTAGCAGAACATTCCACCCAATTGTTGTTTGTTAATTGCTTTCTCTCTTTTTTTTCTCATTTTTACCTTAGTGGTTTATTCCTTTTCGTAAAGATAACGTGAATTGGCTAAGAACTATCTTTTTTCACCAAAATCCATGCATCTTTGAAAGCTGCAAATGTTGTGAGCTCATTCACTGTGCTGCTTATATAATTTGGGTCTAGGCTTTGGTTCCCCCTAACTTATCCTGGCATTTTTACTTTGAATAGAAATAGGCACAGACAAGATATGTTCATGAAATTTATAGTACTTATTATTATATTATCTCTGTTTAGAATAACTCTTTTATTAAAACATTCTAAAGGACACTGTCCATCATTCTGGACATTTGAAATGGCTCATGTTGTCATAGTGAACAAAGTCTACATGCTAATAATGCGTTTGTACAACTAGTTGGTGGGTTTTCCTTTATGTGCGGCTCCTGTACTGAGCAAAAGGCTGTTGTTTAGGCATGAATTTTCTGTGAAAGGTTTAGGAGAGTAATTATTTTCAGGGATCAGACCTGCGTGGTGTTAGGAGCAGAGGCCATCTTGGGCTTACATGCAGTTGTCTGTGGATTTGTGTCTGTGTGTGCACTGGTAACACTGAAGCAACTTCTCACGTGTATCACCACCCATCACCCCCAAATTTAGTTGAAACAAGTAGAAAGGAGCGCAGTTTTCTAGCAATAGCATATTAGCTTACTAAGCCTCCGGTTAGGATAAAAAAGAAGCGACAGAGAGAAAGAAAGTGGCCATCTGTATATTTCCTGACACAGTGGGATCATGTTTTTTCCTTAAAGAAAAAAAAAATGCAGCTTCACTACCTGGTCCGGAGTCTCTCTGGCGTCCGCAGGAGCCTTCCTCCTTCCCAGGGCCCCTGAGCTCGCTGTTGTGACTCGGGGCCGCCCTGGGCGACTCCGTGGTCATTCGTGCATTCTGGTCAAGTTGATCCTAGAAGCCAAAAGTAGTTTTCAAGACTTCGATGGCAACAGCCACCCCACCCTTGTCTAGGAAGTCGCGTTGACGGGTCACGGGCAGGGGCAGGAGGAATGGAGAGCGGCGTGCTGCGCTCTGCTCCCCGGAGTCCTTCCCACGCGCAAAGCCGCGGTCTAGGTAAGGCCGGGACATCCCAGAATCCGACCGCACTTTGGAATCATCGCAGAGGTGGGTGTGGACGCGCGGCCTAGGGAGGCTCCGCTCTCACCACTTGGCCGGTGTCCTGGTCCCGCGACGGGTCCCCCGGTGTGTCCCGCTCCCTGCGCGGCTCGTGGCGTCCCAGTGAAATGAGGGTGCACCTGCGCCCGACGTGCCTTGGCGACACGGGCGGCCCGTGCCCCGCTTCGTGCGTCTGCCCCCGCCGCGCCCCCAGTATTTGTATTCGGATTCCCACGTTTGTATTTCTAACACGAATAAACGCACTTGTCACAAACGCCCGAGCAGGGAGTGGACGCCTTTCTGGCTTGGGCGGCGGGAGGGTCGGGGGTGGGTGGGTGACCCGACGTCCCCTCTCAGGTGCGCTCCTCTGGGGAGCCCGGCCCAGGGCAGAGTCTGCAAACGGGCGTCGGGGAGACACTTCTCGGGCAGGAAGGGCACAGGTGGCGTTTCTAAGGGCCGCGCCCTCCTCCGCTCTTGCCAAAGTGCGTGAACGGAGCCCCCCAAGCCACCCTCGGAGACCGGGAAACCCTGCTCCAGCCAAGCCCGGCGGCAGGTGCCACCCTCCAGGCCGCACCCGCAGCTCAGGAGCGGATGACATGGCGCGGTAAGGGCTCCGGGACCCGCCATCCACGTACCTGGAAGGGGGCTGGACACCCCGAAGGCCCAGTAGTGGCTCTTGGAGAAGGTGCCTGGTCCCACGTTAAAGGCCACACCGTCACAGACACACGGAAAACCGACAGGACCGTGACTGTTGCAGACAGGAGAGAAATTTATGTTCTGTGCTTGGGTCTATTAGAACTGAGACACGTTTTAATAAAAACAATCCACTCCAGGTCACAGATGGGGGCTGCGCTTACACAATGGGGTGGGGTAGGGGGACTTTGAAACATTTTTTGCAGCCTCTGACCAATTCTGTGGGAGCCCTAAGCCCTAGAAGAGGTTTTCTGACACGGATTGGGGCTCTGGGAAGTATGGCAGCCATAATGGCTTCTTAGATTGCTCCAATCTGGGCTTGAACAACACTGAGCGTTTTCTGCTCATGAATTCCCTCCCTCCTAGAACTGCCACCTTTGCCTTGCTTTCTGACCAGTGCCTTAGGCCCCTCCAGAGGTTCATTAAAACAACGGCAGATGCTTCCTGAGGACTGACCTCGTGCTAAGAACTTGGCACAAACTGAATCACTCAGTCCTGGGAGCACGGTATAAAGGGAGTATTTGTCTTACCACAATTTTGTTGATGAGAAAATGGAGACTTGCCCAATATTCCAAACCTAGAACAAAGCAGAAAAAAGGATTGAAACGCTGGGAAATGTGACTTCAGACACCTCGAAACTCCTGTGCTTAGCTGCTACACTCTGCCCATCCATGTCTCCAAAACCTTGGGACTGTGGAGTGAACTTCAGAGAAAATTAATATACCAGACACTCACCTTTAGGTACTTTAAACCCACTTTTTTTGGGGAGGGTAACCTTTACTTTCAAAGGGATAGTTTGCACACAAATGGCACAATGAGGTCAGCTGTTTTGTTAGGGACCCACAGAAATCAGTAAGCTGCTTTCAAGGAAAAGCCACACACAGGGCTCCCTTGCTGGGCTGCTTGATTTGCGAGTGAGGAGCAAGGGCGATCTCTCGCACAGACGTAGAGCAGTGGAGACTGTACTCACTGCCAGATTGGAACTGAAACTGTGCCCCAACGAGTTAAAGAGTCCAGCAGCTTACAGAAATTCTTGAGCTTGCAGGTGACAGGTGAGAAAAGAAAGAAACAGCCACTGAAACTCGTGAGATAACCAAACTTGCTGAAGTAGGTTGCAGCCAGTATGGCCAACTAGAGTCTGCAGAGCATGACGTTGGTGACACAACAGTGTCATTTCCATCACATTTCACTGCAGCTCCCCCAGAATTGCACATGACCCATGAGGTAACATGAAGAGATAACTGCCCACATCCAGGACTGTCCAGACTGCCCCTTTCCTTCCACCAGGCACCCCTAACCTCAGAAACCACCCCTGAAGATTTTCTCATAAAAATACTGCAGTGAACCCAGCACCGGCAGATAGATTTGAGCTTGACTTCCAAGATACACTATTTCCAAGAACGGCACCATCCACCCAGTACCACAGGCCCTGAACAAGGTCACATCCACGCATAGCTTGGAAGGAGCACCCCAAGTTCTGTTCCCCAGGAGGCACACAGAAGAGGCTGTGGGGTCTCTAATATCTGTACTGGCAAGAGCCCAGGAGCATGCATGGGAATTTATTTTAAGGGTTTTAGAACCAGAAAGACCAGCTTTAAAGCTGATGTGGCTGTATTTCTATGTACGGGGATTAAACAACACTGGAACCTTGAACACGAAGGTTTAGTTCTCAGGGTTCCTGGTGAACTGTCATTCAGATAAGGTGACTGCTGAACCCACAGCCAGAGAAAATGAGCCGCCAGCCCCCCACACACACTGTAAGGGGACAGGCTAAGGCCACGGAAAACAGGATGTCACAGTGGGTTTCCCATGTGCAACTCACTTGAACATAGGTGGGGGACTCAGGTATCCCCCACACCTAGAGTCTGAGAAGGGCATTCACGAGGGAGCTCCGGCACCCACAAAGCTCTGTAACGGCTGCAGGTGATGCCATCATGGGAGAGGCCACCATGAACCTGGGATCTGCCATTCCAGCAGGAATCATACAATCTGAGAGTCGCAGGGCCAGGTGGCATGGCCTGACCTTCAGTGACTTTAACAAGCCGTAGGGACTGAGGAGAGATCAGCATTTTGACCCGGAGGCATGAACAGCACGGGCGTGATGCACCCCACTCCCCAGGACACTGGCTCTCTGCCTGGCTGCAGTTTCCTTGCTGGGGTTAAGTGGTTCCTCCTCAGAAGAGATACATATCCCAGGTGTGAATTGGCCTTTCCCATCCACACAGCACCTGTGTATCTACAGAGGGCCTCTGCCCTGCCATGGCAGACCACATAACATTGCGAGCTAAACCAGAACTCTGGGTGTTCTCATACATTTCTGAATGGTCTAGAAAGAAGTGCTTTTATTGGAGGTCAGTGTTTATTTTATTTATTTTTTTATTTTTATTTTTTTTGAGGCGGAGTTTTGCTCTTGTTACCCAGGCTGGAGTGCGATGGCACTATCTCAGCTCACCGCAACCTCTGCCTCCTGGGTTCAGGCAATTCTCCTGTCTCAGCCTCCCAAGTAGCTGGGATTACAGGCACGCACCACCATGCCCAGCTAATTTTTGTATTTTTAGTAGAGACGGGGTTTCACCATTTTGACCAGGATGGTCTCGATCTTTTGACCTCGTGATCCACCCGCCTCAGCCTCCCAAAGTGCTGGGATTACAGGCGTGAGCCACCACGCCCGGCCTTGGAGGTTAGTGTTTAAATAGCAATGTACAGTCAACACAAAAGTACATCCACAACTCTCCAGTCCGTAACTCATGTTTTCTAATAGGGATAGCTGTAGTCCACTGAGGACCGATGCAGTGGAAATAAAGGGAGAAGACGTAAGTGTCAGAGGAGTTCTGGTGTTAACAGGGTGACTCGGCAAAAAGAGAGCTGCCCCCCCCCCCCCGAGACTCACCTGAATCTGACCTGTCACACCCACCACCTGCAGCCACGCCACACAAATGGGAATAAAGCGTAAGTCTCCTCACCATATTGATGCAACATGGAGCACAAAACCCTGCAGACGGGTGAGGTGGCAAACATGGGTATCAGCAGCAACCAACTGCATACGCCTGTTAGAAAGGTAAACTGAGGCACAGAATTTTAGAGTTTATCTGAGTAGTGATTCAGGAATCAGGCAGCTTTGAAGCAGAAGTGGTTTGGGAGTCCCATTAGGAACCCAAGGGGGAGGCCTGTATGAGACCCACAGGAGGTAAAAGAAAGGAAATGTTTGATTAGCTCTAGCCCGCTGGAAAGTCCCTAGTAAGACAATTATAAGTGGGTTTGCTGCTTGTTAAGGGTTCAGCTTAAGTTTCACTTTTTTATTATTTTTTAATTTCCTTTAGAAACAGGGCCTCACTCTGTCACCCAGGCTGGAGTGCAGTGGCACCTTTTCAGCTCACTGAAGCCTCGAGCTCCTGGGCCCAAGCCATCCTCTGGCATCAGCCTCCTGAGTTGCTGGGACTACAGGTGTACACCTGTAAAATTAGCACGGCCTGGGTTTTTTGCTTGTTTTGTTTTTATGTTTGTAGAGATGAGGTCCTCTCTGTTGCCCAGGCTGGTCCTGAGCTCCTGGCCTCAAGAGACTCTCCCAGCCTCAGCCTCCAAAGTGCTGGGATTGCAGAGACAAAGCACCACACCTGGCCAGATGCCTTTTCTCTTTAATACAGGCGTTTACAAGAACTAGCCCAAGTTAAGTTTTCCTTGTATTTTTGAAATCAAGCAAGGTTAAGGTCATGTATGAGGCCTGACCAATTTGTCCACTCAGGGATGCTTCAGGCTTGGTTTCCATTTCATTTCACTCCAACACACCAGACCTAACAAGCAGTATTTGACATTTTAAAAGCAAGATCTGAAAAATGTTCAAATTACTTGGTGATGGAAGGTTAAATTGTAAAAGAGCTTAACTCCTACACATTTTTTTCCCAAGGGGGAAAAATAATTGTGTAAACCAATCGAGAGAGAAAATCCAAAGCTGAAGGGAATAATTTTCCATAAAAGAAAAGCCCTCTTAAAAACAGAAAGCTTTAAAAAGCCAGTCATTTTCCATCCCTTTTTTCCTTCCATTACACAGCCATTGTGCCTAATTTCTAAACATTTCCAAAATGTGGTTGCTGAAAAGCCTGACACTTGTGAGGAAAGTAAGGTTCCTGAGTGCTACTCAGAATAGTCAGATTTATTAGGGCTGCAGCAGGACCCACGAATATGCGCTTGGGAACCACAGGCCTAACTGGGCTGGGAGGAAGCAGAGAGGGAGCCCAGGGGAGGTGTGGATCTGAGCTCCTCCCCTTCAAATGAGAGGAACACATCCATCAATTAAATAGGTAATTGAGAAATCAATTAAATAGGTAATCAATTAAATAGATCAATTAAATAGGTAATTGAGAAAGCATCTTGAAATTAAATCGAAATACGAAGTGTTCTTGGTGAGCAATATAATCCCGAAATTCAGCCGTCTGGCCGCTGTGTATGCTGTACTGGCCAGGGTAGGCTGATACAACAAACAAACTCTGAAATCTCAGGGTTCTCACCTCACAGTCTAGAACTTACCGCAGACCCCCCATCCCCACCCACCATGCAGAAGCTCCGCTTTCCCTTTCTTTACCGTGTCCAGAAGATGGGGAAGGGTGGACGAGAGGCTTCATGCAGAAGGAGTGTATGGGCTGGGCCTGAAATGGCAACTTTTCATCAGCCAGAACGGAGGAAGCCGTGGCCACGGTGACCCTGGCTCACTGCAGAGGAGGCTGGAAAACAGCATGCCCAGGAAGAAGAGAACATGGACTGTGGTGGGCGAAGTCCCGCCATGCAGGGGCGCACAATTAAAGGGGGAACCTCTGCAGTTCCAATGTCAGAAGATAACATCAGAAATCACTGTAGGTCACACGCACACCGCCTGCTCCCTGGAGGACCCGAAGCATGGCAGGGCTTGACACTGGAAGTTGAGATTGTGCCCATCCAGGTGCACTGAAGTCAGTCCACGTTTGCAGGTACATTAAAATGTGAGAGGCACTGCCTGTGCCAATTCAAAACTGTCTTCGAATTTTAGTTTAGTCTTAGGGTAACTTTCAAGGTCAGTGGAAATAGAAAGACTCAATTTGATGAAAATTTGCCAGACATTTCCACGCATGTGACCTCGAATTTAACAGTGACTAAAACGATGATTTCACAGCACAATGACACATTCCAAATTCAGATTCCCCGGGTCCTGCCTACATCTCAAGTTCCAAGTCCTAAGAACTCTCGAGAACTCTTTAAGCACAAGGAACACTAGGCCTTAGAACGCATACAAGGCAGCCCTGTGTACAGGTGGGTGGGACTGTCTGAGATGAAATTCACCACTGCATCGGGAAGCCCTGGCAGTCACTGTCATGTTGATGATTGATTGGTGAGTATGGGCCTAATCTGATTTTCACTCTCACACCGAGCTCTGTCAGGCAGCACTGGCAGGACTGAAGGTCCACATTATTTCTCTAGGGAAAGTCTTTCCATCTGTCTAACTCACTGCCACTGGGTCCACAAGACACAGGTCCTGTGCTCTGCACGAGAGGCATGGGGGAAACTTACTTACCCCAGAAGGTAACAGGAAGGTGTTCTGGAACTTCAAATACCTTCCCCAAAGCCGGCCGCATTTTGCCTCATTTCCAGGTTATCCACCAAACACATTTTCTCTAGAAGAAACAAAATGTCATCCTTTGGTTATTGTAATTCTCCCTGAAAAACAATATGGGACAAAGAAGCCCCACACGGCCGGCGCACAAGTGCAGCAGGTAAACTCTGCCAGGCTTATGTCCCGTATCAATAGAACCAGTTTTATGATTCTCAGTGCCTCCTTTCCTATTATTTGTGAACCATCAGGGAAGTAAACACATAAGGAGGGAAAGAAATAGAAATTCATGTTAAAAATCAACCCAGCTAGGGCTAACAACGCACACCATGACCCAGGACTACGGTGCTCAGGGCCTCCGTAAAACTGAGGGCTTCGATGTGAGGATGTCAGGCATGTCTCTGAGCTCGCAAAAATCATGTTGCATGTAGAGCACATCTGACCTGCACTGTTATGAGCCCAAACTTGTCACTGGTTCATGGGCACTCCATGGGTCATGAAAAACAGGCCAGCTGATCGCATTCCAAACCTCCTGCAAGCCGGGTGCAAAGATGCATGTGAGTATTAACCACGGCACCTAAAAACATCCTTCAGTATTCTTACTTGGGGGAAATATCCAGCAGAATACTTTTATAACAAGTATTATACATTGATGAAATTTTAGCTTCACTCTGTACAAATGAGAGACTAGGATTTCTCTAATAAATGAGGAGGCATAAACATATTTAGGCTGGGTTTGGTGGCTTATGGCTGTAATCTCAGCACTTCGGGAGGTCAAGGGGGAGAATCGCTTCAGGCCAGGAGTTCAAGACCAGCCTGGGCAACATAGAGAGACCCTGTCTCTACAAAAATAAAAATAATTAGCTAGCCATGGTGCTGCACACCTATAGTCCCAGAGGCTCAAGAGGCTGAGGCAGGAGGTTCACTTTGGCACAGAACTTTGAGGCTGTGGTGAGCTGAGATGGCTCCACTGCGCTAGCCTGGGCCGCCGAGCAAGGCTCCATCTCTGAAATCGAAATAAGTACTGTTGCCCAGGCTGGTCTATTTAGACACATGTAAGAGAAGAAAAAGATGCTGAGAACCGAGAGTTCCGTACTCTTCAAACCGTGTGGGAGCATCAGGGAATTGCACCGGTGGTTGCCTGCGCCTGAGGAGCTCTGCTAACTGATGCCCCTTTTCAAATAGGGAAACTGAAAAAGGGTTGGGAAAACATGGATGCTGTTTAGCTTGGCCTCTCTGACCGTCTGCCAGTGTGATGGATGGGCGTGGTAACAGTACAAACCCTGGATGACGAGAGGTAACACACTCTGGGTCCACAGGACAGGGCCTCACGCACGGACACAGTGCCATGCGGGTGGGACCCCGGTCACTGCTCAGTCAAGTCTGTCGTTGTTGACTGACAGGCGAGGCCACGCTCTGGAGGAAGCACACCTTCCCCAGGAGTGTGACTGTGGGGTGTGCGCCTAACACCTTTGGTACTTTTCCAGGTTCTTTTTACTTCTCTCCAAATTTAAAGGTTGGCTGTAGCAAACTCAGACACTAGATAAATACACTAGGCACGGACTTCAGAAACACGAAATTCCTTCACTCAGGAGATATTCTGTGGAGTCTCATGGAAGAAAACACACAAGCACACATGTACATATGGGTGTGCGCACACACGTACACACACGTGCACACATGTCCGTGCACGCACACACGTACACACACCCACATGTACACACACACACGTGCACACATACCCCCCTCAGCCTTAAGAACTTTTCCTCCTTTTTGCTTTTCACTTGATGACTCAGTGCTAGAATTTAAACACTGAGGGCGCCTGAGAACTGCAAAAGAGTGGTGGACACACAATGACTCGTCTAAACCTCTGCACAAACAAAGCTGCGCAAACGCTAGCCTGGCTTTTAGCAGCATGAGGCTGTGTCCCTGAGTTGTTCACAGCCCACCCTAAAATTCCTGCAGGTGAAAACTCGATGCTTCCAGCACTTACTTGTTCCAACAAAATTCAGTGTTTGTTCCAGCCAAGTCCTGGTGATAGGCAGAGAGGCCCCGACACCTCGTCATGGAGCAGTTACTTTAGAAAGCTTGCAGCCATGCATTCTTTGCCCTTAAGAATGCTAATCTTCCACCACTGAGAACTGTCTCCACAAGGACCTGGGAGCCATCTCTTTGAAACAGAAACTTGCTGGGAAATGCCTTTGCCCTGGCTTTGCTCCCAGTCAGTGCCGGAGAGGACGGTCTGACTTGGGTGATTCCCTCCCTCTAACCTGCCCCATTGCCTCCGGCGGAATTTCTTTCTTTTCCAGATGAGCACCAATTAGCTGCCTAGTCTCATGGACCAAGCCTCCTTAGCACCCTCAGTGCCTTCCCCAGCACAGCCTTGATGTATCCCCTGCCTTCTGTTTCGGTGACGTTGAGCTTGGTTCACACTGGACCTTCTTCCCTATTGTGACACTTAATAAAGTCTGTCCTTATTGCTTTGTGTCTGGCTTTCTTATCTTTGACAAACCTAGACTATAAAATCATCATTGCTTTGTGTCTGGCTTTATCTTTGACAAACCTAGACTATAAAATCATCATAAATTTGGCATCCTTCAAATTTTTGCTATAAACAAACTTCGTGGGGTTGTTTTTTCTTTGCTATTTTTTTGAGACAGAGTCTCACTCTGTCACCCAGGCTGGAGTGCAGTGGCATGATCTCAGCTCACTGCAACCTCTCTACCTCCCACATTGTTCAGGCAATTCTCCTGCCCCAGCCTCCTGAGCAGCTGGGATTACAGGCACACACCACCATACCCAGCTAATTTTCGTATTTTTAGCAGAGAATGGGTTTCATCGTGTTGCCCAGGCTGGTCTTGAACTCCTGACCTCAAATGATCCACAACCCCGGCCTCCCAAAGTGCTGAGATTACCAGCATGAGCCACTGTGCCCGGCCTACAAACAACCTTCATATATAAATGAATCTGCATTAAGTTCTTTTAAAAAATCTATTTATAAAAATGGAAAAAATTAACCGAAGTCAATTCCTAAGAAAGAACTGTGCAGTTCACTTAACTAAAAACATTAGTTTTGCTAATCCTCGTGTATCCAGCATGAACCGTCCTTCTGTATATTACACAGTTCCAGAATCGTTCCATTTGTCAGAAAATATTAACATGGAACATTTATAATACCAATCAAACTATAGGCAGATATCTTCATTTAAAAGCAAAAACAAAAAAAGTGCATGATAAATAACCTTTTTTTTTCTTTGAGACGGAGTTTCGCTCTCGTTACCCAGGCTGGGGTGCAATGGCGCGATCGCAGCTCACCGCAATCTCTGCCTCCTGGGTTCAGGCAATTCTGCCTCAGCCTCCTGAGGAGCTGGGATTACAGGCACGCGCCACCATGCCCAGCTAATTTTTTTGTATTTTTAGTAAAGACGGGATTTCACCATGTTGACCAGGATGGTCTCGATCTCTTGACCTCATGATCCACCCGCCTCGGCCTCCCAAAGTGCTGGGATTACAGGCGTGAGCCACCGCGCCCGGCCGATAAATAACCTTTTAAAAACAGCATGAACCCTTTGAAACTGGGGCCTGTTTATCCCCAGGATCCATGGAGCCTGTGTCTCCTGGAATCCTGGGGTGAAGTCTGAAGACCAGAAGGCCCTGGAGGAGCACCAGCATGGAGCCAAGGCCGGCAGCACCCAGGGCCATTGGGCAGGGAAGCAGCGGGCAGGGCAGCCTCGGGAGAGAGGGGGCAGCTGGGAGAGGGGGCCCCAAGCTGGCAGATGATCACCGCTGTGGAAGCCGGGCACAGGGCAGGCTGGCAGCCCACCGGTTACGGAAAGGCAGGACCTAGGACTCAGCAAGTAGCCTGGTGGAGGAATGAATGTGTGGATGTGGCTCGGATCTGTGTCCCCACCAAATCTCATGTCACACTGTAAGTCCCCATGTTGGAGGTGGGACAGGTGTGAGGTGATTGCATCGCGGGGCAGAGCTCTCATGAATGGGGTAGCACCATCCCCTAGTGCTAGTCTCCTGACCCTGACTGAGTTTTCATGAGATCTGCAGGTTTAAAGGTGTGAAGCACCAGCTGCCTCCCTCTCTCTCTCTCTCCCCCTCCTGCTCCAGCCATATGAAGTGCTGGCTCCTTCTTCATCCCTCCCCAAGACTGTAAGTTTCCTGAGGCCTCCTCAGAAGTAGAAGCCACTGTGCTTCCCACACAGCCTGCAGAACCGTGAGCCAATTAAACCCCTTTTCCTTAAAAATTACTTGGTCTCCGGCGTTTCTTTATAGCCATGCAAGAGTGGACTGATACTCATGTCGGTCAGCATTGCTCATTGCCCAGATCCCAGCCTGCAGGCCTGGAGTGAAATCTCAGTTATAGGGAAGCTCCCGGGACCTTTTCTCAGCTCGGGTGCCCAGGCTGGGCTAGGTTCTCACTGCAAGCCTCCACACCACTGTTCCTCCTCCATAATTATGTTGTTTCTTTCCCCCACAAGACTGTTGGTGCTGTTTCCTGACTTAAAAATATGTGTGCAGGCCAGAGAATAGTTCACTAGTTACAGAAAAACATTGAAGCGACATATGGGTGAACCCTACTTTTGAGAAAGTCAGTCTTTATAAGACTGTGAGATAATAATAAGCAACCTATTTTTGGTCCTTACTTTTTAAAATGCTTCCCTATACACCATGGTCATGGTAGTGATATTCACAATAACCAAAAGGCGGAACGATTCAGGTGTCCATCAGGGAATGAATGGTTGAATAAAATGTGCTGTATATACAGTGGAATCAGATTCCGCCACGAACAGGAAGAGATTCTGACACGTGCTACTACATGGATGAAACTTGAAAACCTGATGCAAAGAGAAAGAACTCATTTACGAAAGAGCTATTCCTGTGTCACTCCACTTACGTGAGGTCCCTAGAGCAGCCCAATTCATAGAGACAGAAAGTAGCACTGAGGTGACCCGGGGCGGGGAGAGGGATTGGGGAGTTAGTGGTTAACGGGGACAGGGTGTTCGCCTTGCCCAATGGAGTTATGGAGACTGGGTGCATAACAGTGTTAACACT